TGCAGAATTGTTTTCCCGTATAAAAATTGAATTAATTAAACAAAATCAAAATCAAGTCAAAAGCAGTGTGTTTCTTAAGCATTAAATAAATCTTTCATATTGACAAGCCAATCTCGCTGTCTATGTTTGCCAAGGTCTTAGATTTCTCTCATACAGGTAGGACTGATGAATGAGAATTAATATAAACCCATTACATTCACGGCATGGACAGAAGGGTGCGTAATATTGACAATCGGAGATTAATTACTTTGAGTGGTCTGGCCCTCGAGGCAAAATAAACCAACCAAATTTCCTCTCGGTATTTATTCAGGTTTACACAATTAGGGAAAGAGAAATATTAATTCAGGAAATATTATAATAAACCAACCAAATTTCCTCTCGGTATTTATTCAGGTTTGCACAATTAGGGAAAGAGAAATATTAATTCAGGAAATATTATAATTTTGCATTCATAAATACCTCAGACAGTTTAGCTATTCCTATTGGTCGAGAGCCCGTCACGTGGCCGGTCTTAAACAGATGATAAAGACATGGCTAGCTGGTCTTAAACACTTTTCCAGTGTCACAATAAAATGTGGACTCCTAAAATTCCAGTGCCTCTTATCGTTTCATTGGTTGAACGTTCACAATCCTCACGTAGGCATGCGCAACACTACCAGGGAGTCAGAATTTTATAGTTCTGAATTCAAAACGCAACGCGCCAGGTGCGTTTTGCGCGACATCGCGCAGAACATGATACGCGCGCGTCAATCTCCATAAAAGGGTTGTTTACATCTTACTCGCCAGCTGAACACTCCATTATTTTGCAAGAGGGATGTTTCAAAAAGCATAAAGTGAATTTGTTGAACAAAATCGGGATGTTTTGAACGAATTATATGATTTTTTCTTACCGAAAAGGTATTTATGAATGGGAATAAATATGTGCTCCGTCGGTATTTATCACTCTGTTTAAGACCACTTAGAGCGCCTCCGGCTCGGGTAATTATCAGCACCCAGACTCTAAGTGGTCTTAAACAGAGTGATAAAAACCTCCAGAGCACACATTTATTCCCTTATTATAATTCATGTACCGGTAGATATCTACCAGGATATTGCTGAAAAGTCAAAGCATGTTTTTGTATACTCCTGTCTGGATGCAATATATCTAAACCATATATCTTGAGTGATTATTTTTATGCACATTGTTTTTATCAAGGTTTTTTTTTTTTGAAAAATTTCTTTGTTTATCAACAGACCACATAATGTGAATTCCTTTGCAGAGCGTAACTGAAAAAATTCCATTTAAGTTTAAGCTGACACTGAATTACATCGATCATAAGTACCGGTACATGTAGATATTTCCTGGCACCGAGTTCCCAACCGTAGAAAAAGAGGAAAAATTAAAAGAATTTTTGAATGTAGGAGTTGAGGAATTCATCGATTAAATTCTGTGTCTTTGATAAAAAGTCTGCTCTGTTAGGGAACAAAAGTTGATTTCTGGTAAAGTGAACGTGTACTGTTAATCAGAACTGTGTTGTAAATTAAATTTGCATCCCATGTTTTCAGATAAGAATCGTATATTTTCTAGAATAGAAAATGGAGTTTTGACTCCAATTTTGCAAAACAAATAAAGTGACAGTTCTCACCTTCAAATGTACACATGGCTAAAACCACAGTTGATAAATTGGACAACTTAACCTAGTAGCCCTCATACCGCCCCAAACTGCCCTGCCTGTTAATCCTCATACCGCCCGAAACTACCCAGCACTCTATGCTTTGATTGATTTATGGAGGAGTAAATAGAATGTAACACAATAAGTGCAAGTGCTAAAGGGTTAAACCATAGACAATTTGTAATTATGTATCAAAAAGGTGTAATTTCCTTAAATTGTGGCGTCCTAAAGGAGAAAGAATGAAGCAGGAAGTGATGACATTCCACAGAATGACTGTTTACAAACACGTCAGCTAATGAAAATTCTCTGGTGAACCACAATGTGCACTCGAGCAGTTAGTCCAGTCAGAAGCAGTACGAGTCACATCATCACTCGCTGACACTTAGACTGACTCAATTTGTAACTTAACTCCCCCCAAACGCAACGATGTCACCCCCTCCAACACGGTGATTCATGAACTAATGGCTCGGTGGGATGAGGGTACGCAAGCATGAATATCAGGGGTCAGAAATGTTTAATCAGATCATCTCTCCACCCCTTTAAAAGCTTTTTTTGAGGAGTTTTTCTGCACATAATTGGTGGCTTATTTAAAGATATAGTCCATCATTTGTAATTTGTGCATTTTATTCGTTTGAAGCAACAAAAGTGTTCAAAATCTAATGAAGGATACTGAACAACTAACCTGATGAAGTTTCAGCTAAGCTTCAGCTGTATATTCTTAGAAAAACAGCATTCTAGGATCTCAATTTCAAATCAAAAGTTACTGAATTGTGTTTTGAATTGTTTTGAATTGCAGCTATACGCGACATCGCGCACTGATCCGACGAATTATAGCAACCGCGCGTGTGCGTCGTGCCAATGTTGCCCGGGTGCTTGAACTACTAATGAACTACTAATTTAAATTTTCCTACGGTACGTCTTAAGACGGTGCAGCACCGTTGGAAAGGCCTTCTTTCGTTGATTACTTCAAAATGACAGCTTGCCAGAAAGAATAATTTCACAGGGAGTTTAGTTCCCTTACTATCTTTCAACCAAGTTTGTTTTTCAACAATGATTACGCCAGTTACTTTTCGGATGGCTGCAAATGATGGACTATAGCTTTAACAGCAGTGGGCTGTTTCAGTGGCCCTTTGAAGTGTTCAAATGTAGACTTCAAACTTCACTGTGATACACTTGGCAGTACAATGTACTTTTTCTCGAAAAAGCAATTTTGCACAAAAATATAAGCTGTGGTGAAAAATTTATATTTGGTTGTTTTTTAAAAGAGTGTGGCAGATTTTCCAGCAACGAAGGACTTTGTCGTTTACACGGTTAAAATTTGACAAAATTATTCAAGGAACTTTACAAAAGGTTACCTGAATGCTGTATAAAGTAATGGAAAGAAAAACACAGCTTTGAAATACATGTTATTGAGTACGCTCTTTTAACAACAAAATACTCAGCAACCAAAACAATTTCTCTTTTTCGTTTCAGTGCAATATGCACAAAGGTAGATTTTATTTTTGCTTAAGTGGTGGACTTCTGATAGCCTTGCTTTCTCAATTGTAGCTTAAATTGTCAATTTATGTAATCTGGCAATTTCATCTAGATATCTCAAAATTTACAATGACTGTCCAGGAAATCCCAGCTCAGGGTTGCAAGTCCACCTGTAATTGCCTCACTTCAGGAATTTTTTTTATCGGATGCGTGTTTTTTCCCCTCAAATTTCAGGCTGAAATACAAGCGTCCATATCATCGCTTCCATTCATTTGACAGGCAAAGTGATTGAGTAGAAACCAAGGTGTTTTAGAGTGCCAAGCATTCGTCATGAATATTTAGGGTGGAGTTGTACCGGTATGATGACTGCTATTGACAGTGCAAGCAGGATGCATCAGCAGGACACATCATGAGAGCAAACATTTAAAATCGGAGTGGGACCGGGAGGGGAAAGGGGGGGGGGGGGAGGGGGGTGTGATGATCGCCCCCTAATGGACTGTTTGTGTAATCTACCTGATAAAGTGGTTTAAAGAATAGGAGTGAGTTGCAAGTGATGCAGTGATAGATTACTATTCTAACCACAAAATGCCCAATTTATTATAATTTGTTCGTTTTTTATTATTCTTTTTTTTGGGGGGGGGGCTGGTTGAGTTGACACCTGCTTTCCTGTTTAAGATTGTTACATTACATTTAAGTTTAAAGTAAAGATGTGTTAATCTTTTGTTATAAATACTTTGTGTAAATTTGAATGCATCGATATGGACTCTTTATTTTTAAAAACAAAACCAGCCAGTACATGTATTTCTCATCTAGATCTTCTCATTTTCGTTAATTAATGACCAAAGACAAACAAGTCTCAAGTCATGATTTTGTGCAAGTTGAAGTTTGCAGTGTGCAATTTTAATTATTCAGCAAGTGTTAGTTTGCCTCTTTTTGCTGTTGCACCTGATCAGGCAAAAAAAACCCCACATAGTTCTGCCTCCGGTTTCCCTACTTACCCTATTCTGACAGCCCCCACCCTAATTTTTTTATGGGAAATATGAGAAAAAAAACACCCAAAACCATCAATTTTTACTTTTTACCCTTGATTACACGCAGACGCCTCCATATGATCGTACACAAAAAATTTGGCCACAAAAATATCCCTACCTACCTACCCTATTTTCAAATGCAATGTAATCGAAAGCAGAAGTATTTATTTTTGGGCCTTTAGCGTTCACGACATTTCTGTAGTCAATACTACCGGTAGTATGTATTTACAGCAGCCAGCACTATAAATTTTCAATGAGGACACTACTCGCATCATAAATATTTATAGCATATTTACTTTTTTTTGCGAACGTGGTTTTAAGATGCTCATCGATTCAACCTTTCCGGCACTCCTTCACCCAGACTGGATGTCCTCAATTCTGTCTCTTGATTCCCATCCCCTCCAGACATGACGGCCTCACCCCGGACTCAAAACACATCTCAGACATAAAGTCTAAGGTTTTATCCCGCCACTTTCACCTTGCTGGCGCTAAGACATTAGTCAAGTAAACATGCCGTACAAAAAGTTGCCATAGCATTGCATTGTAATAGCACTTCAAAGGTAAATCAACATTAGGTTTTTGCCCTTTACCTTGTATACTCGGTGTTTTACCTCCCGAGTGAAAGATGGAAAAAATCACTCGGGTGGGACTCGAACCCATGACCTCCTGCTTTCTAGTGGAGACATCTTACCACTTGACTACCAAGCTTATGGGATCGATTGGTTGGTTGGAATCTAGTTCGAAACTTCAACTTTAGGTAATTTGTGGTTGAACATGTAAACATGACTGGTTCACTGTCTTCCATTTTTGAGGACAATTTCTCTTTATTTTGTTTTTGCAGACACTTAAATTGAATACTGAAGTGAGGCCAGATGACACGGAGTGGGCCAAGCAGCGACAGCAATCCTCGGTGAGTTGAATATCAGAAACTAGTCCACAAAGAGTTTATTTCTGAAATTGCGATATACAAACACCAATTTATATACGCCGATTTGTTCCCATTTATTTGCTCTATTCTGGCTATAAAAAAAAGAACAATTTCGATAACTATATACTTCAATGCAAATTACATGCAAGAGTAAAATTAGGCTAAAAATGAAGTTTAGAAAAAGTTTTCATTCCGGTTTTTACTATTAAAAGTTGACAAATTGCCAGATGTGGCACGGTCTGTAGGCTCTGTGCATGAACAAGAGAGGGCGCTGTTGAGTCAGAAACAATACGATGAAGTATGCGCGAATATTTTATTCTGAATGTACACGGAGCCATAGCAGCTCGTGTTGAGCCTAAGGCGTCATCGTCAATGCGTTTAAATGTCTCTCCCAGTGGTCTCCCCCAGACTCTCCCTCTCTCAGCCTTGAGGGGGTACTTGCACACAGAGTCTATGGGCTCCGTGCACCAACAAAAGAGGGCGCCCTTTTACCTAGCAATGACGTCCCATGGGTGGGACATTTAGCTGGTTGACGTGCACCATTCCTTGTGTGTAAAGCACATACACCAGGGGATTTGTACTATGAACATGCAGTGGTACGTACGGCCGCGCGTCGTGGCAAAATATTGCAGTCAGGCAAGATGGCGTCGGTCGGTCACCCCCAACTGTGCTGTCTTTGCCGTTGAGGGGGTACTTGTGAACGGAGTGGATAGGACAATATCACTGTGGTAACACGAACACGCAGTGGTACGTACGGCCGCGCGTCGTGGCAAAATATTGCAGTCAGGCAAGATGGCGTCAGTCGGTCACCCCCAACTGTGCTTTCTTTGCCGTTGAGGGGGTACTTGTGAACGGAGTGGATAGGACAATATCACTGGGGTAACTACATGTAGAGTGTGTCTTGAGTCTGCACTGTGAATCTACTGTATAACCCGCCAGCGCATTCCTTCATGTCGCATGACTCACGTGTTTTCATTGCAAGCGACGCTCGGTCTCCTGAAGGCGTTGATCTGTGATGATGATTATTATTGTCAAAACTACTTTCAAGTACGTGCCCTTTGGCTAATGGTGTAGAATCGGGCAACGAATTAATGAGTGATGGTAGCCTAGGATGTGTGTAGGGATAACGACATCATGCATGTACTGTACAGAAATTGCAGTCTGAATTTCCTCTCTTTACGGATCGTGGCGCTCAAAGAAGAGCTGCAATCTTATAGCTGTTGGTAGAAATCCAAAATGAGTGTGAAGGCATTGCCCAACGGAATTGTAGTCATTGTATGACAAATGAATGTCTCGGGCAACTCATTGACAGCAACTGTACAAATCTGTTGTTAAACCCGTTAGTCCTTGTATTACCCCAAACCACCCGCCTGTTACTCCTTAAATACCGCCCTGCAGCACCCCAGCATGCTATGGTACCGTAGTATGGTTTTATCAAGAAGGAAATACTGTGCAGTGCAGTGTGATACAAGTGCTAATTGGTTATTTATGTGAACATGTGCTTAGGTTCTAGATTGCTCAATTCACAATTGGCTAATTTTTGGTATATTTTTAAAAATTGTCTTATTAAAGCAACGGCACCGACAAAGACGAAGCCACAACAGGGACCGACGCGGGGAGCAGCGCGACAACGTCGCCAACGCTGCTACTGAGGGTCTGATAGAGGAGCACACCAGGGTGGCGAGAGTGCAAACGGGACTGGACCTAGGTTTCACAAACGTATGGACTCGCTGGATGAAAGGTAAACAGGGCGTGGCATTAGGGTGTGGTTCATGGAGGGCGTGGCTTGGGGGGGCTTAGTTAGGCAGGGAGAAAAGGATACTATAGTTGGGGTGAGAGTGCAAACGGGACTGGACCCAGGTTTCATAAACGTATGGACTCGCTGGATGAAAGGTAAGCAGGGCGTGGCATTTGGGTGTGGTTCAGGGAGGGCGTGGCTTGGGGGTGGGGCTTGGTTAGGCAGGGAGAAAAGGATACTATAGTTGGGGCGAGAGTGCAAACGGGACTGGACCTAGGTTTCACAAACGTATGGACTCGCTGGATGAAAGGTAAACAGGGCGTGGCATTAGGGTGTGGTTCATGGAGGGCGTGGCTTGGGGGGGCTTAGTTAGGCAGGGAGAAAAGGATACTATAGTTGGGGTGAGAGTGCAAACGGGACTGGACCCAGGTTTCATAAACGTATGGACTCGCTGGATGAAAGGTAAGCAGGGCGTGGCATTTGGGTGTGGTTCAGGGAGGGCGTGGCTTGGGGGTGGGGCTTGGTTAGGCAGGGAGAAAAGGATGTTATAGTTGTGGTGAGAGTGCAAACGGGACGGGACCTAGGTTTCATAAACATATGGACTCGCTGGATGGAAGGTAAGAAGGGCGTGGCATTAGGGTGTGGTTCATGAAGGGCGTGGCTTGGGGGCTTAATTAGGCAGGGAGAAAAGGATGTTATAGTTGGGGTGAGTGCAAACGGGACTGGACCTAGGTTTCACAAACGTATGGACTCGCTGGATGAAAGGTAAACAGGGTGTGGCATTAGGGTGTGGTTCATGGAGGGCGTGGCTTGGGGGCTTGGTTAGGCAGGGAGAAAAGGATGCTATAGTTTTGGTGAGAGTGCAAACGGGACGGGACCATGGTTCCATAAACATATGGACTCGCTGGATGAAAGTGAAGGGCGTGGCATTTTGGGAGGGCGTGGCTTGGGAAGGGTTTGGTTTAGTGCCGGTGGACAAGAGATGGTTCTTCAACTAGACGGGACCTGTAACCAGTTTCAGGAGGTCTTGGGGAGGCACACTGGATTGCACCCGTATGGCCAGAAGTACCGAGACTGACTCTGCCAAAAACAAAATATGGATGAAAACATGACTGAAAAAGAAGAGTGGACACAATTTTAACATCAATTTTTTGTAAAGGGCCTTGCACCCCCCCCCCCCAAAAAAATGGTCTGAGTAAAGAGTGATTCATAGCTGTCACGCGTTCGAAGTGAACTTATAAGGAAATCACATTGTTGCTTTCATTTTGACTTGCCTAACATGTGCCCTGGTACATCATTGCCACATTCTAGAATGCAAACTGTCGGGAAATTGCTTCATTTCCAAACAACAATTCCGCAATCGTCATGTGCCGTGATCCAGCAATCTCCGACATCTGCTGGAGCCATTAGACCAAGTTGAATGTTTGCTTTAGCCTTCAGAGCTTGCCTGGTACTTTCCCCTTCATTATTATATGTTGAGTCATTGTCCACAAAGTAACATTCAATTCAATTCAATTCAATTCAATTCAAGAAAACATTTATTCCATACTCCTTTAGAGAATACATCCATCAATAAATAAGAAAACTGGTAAATAACAAGATAACAGAATCCATAAATGTGTCTCAAAGAAAAGAAATATGAAATATTGTGAAATGTGAAATATTGTAGTGTATTCCCCTTCAAAATGTATGCTTGCAAAAGATGCATTCGTAAACATATGAATGGTCAGACTTTTGCTTCATAGCTTTTTCTTATTAAAAGTAAGTCGTCACTATTTTTAGATGCTCTGTGTTTTTTTTTTTTTTTTACACACTTTACAATTTTGTTACATTGGTAATTGTAATTTATCAAATGCGAGGGAGATACGCAATGTTGTTTCCACTCCTCAGATTAAACAGATCCGGGGGGGGGGGGGGGGGGGGGGGGGGGGGGGGGGAGAAAGAGAGAATGTATATTCAGTAGCTCATTCATCCGCCCCATTTATTAAGTGAAAGTGGTAGCAAAATTATAAAACTGAAACCACAAAAAAATGTGCTGAATGTTCGTAAACATGCACTGACTAGAGTAACTACAGCTTATAAACCACCTCCGTAAAGTGGCATCATACATAACATTACATTGTGACATGCTAACGCATTATGGCAAGTCTGAAAGTCCCTGATTACTCCTTGTGTTTCAAATAAACGGCAGTCGGTATTGGGTTAAATAGTACAATGCATAGACGAGCAAATATCTGGGCCCAATTTCATAGAGCTGCTTAAGCACAAAATTTGCTTAAGCACGAAAAAACATTGCTTAGTAAAATCACGTAACCTGCCAAAACTCCATGCGATGTACATTGCTTGTGACTGGTATTTAGCTGTTGTTTACTTAGCATAACAATCGAGTGGAGTTTTGGCCGGTAACCTGATTATATTAAGCAAGATTTTTTTGTGCTTAAGCAAATTTTGTGCTGAAGCAGCTCTATGAAATTGGCCCAGCTGGCCCCCAACAAAAACGGCCAATAACCAGTTGAAAAAAAGTCCACTTCGTAAACTGAAACAAAACGTTAAAATCTCACATAACACAAGTAACGAAAGTAAAAGTACGCAATGAAGTTTCCTGTTTTGGTTTCCCTCTGATGTTTTGTCCCAACCTCGTGATACTTGCGGGGAAGTACTGTCTGATGTTATTATTTTTTTTGCGTTCCCTCCAGGAAATTCATCAAAATCCACCAGGAAAGGAATCAGTTTTATTTATAACAGTCTGACGAAAGTGCAATAAAAATTAAATTCCCTGAATTGCTTAATAACCGCTATCAAGTTTCCCGCTTCATGTAATTTCCATTTATATCACAGTCACGAGCCCAGTCATTGATATAAAAAAACAGAAAGAATGTAATAAATGAGTTAAAATCCAAACAAGAAGTCCAGTTGAACAAGATATGATCGCGACTGATGTTTCAACAACTTGAATTTTGCTGAAATCGTTTCATGTTTGATTTGCCGCTCGGGAAAGTTATCAACACTGCTGCTGACTATTTCTGTAATGTGATCTGACTGCACTTCTGTGCAGAGTGATTTTTGGACTACACAGTTTTAAAAAACTGTAGAAATAATGACGCGCTTTTTGAAAAATCCACGTGTGAAAGTAAAGAAGGCCAGCCAGGGCACAACAAAGTGGTAAGACTTTAATTAACCCTAAGTACCTCAACCCTTCAAAATCCGACGGTATGTTTTGTTGGAATCTGTTAGAGGCCATGGTCGTTGACAACAGTGCACGTATACCCATGTGCAACGGTCCGTGCTCTGTTGACTGGTTGACAAGTGTGAGTTTCTACGCTTTTGATTGTGCGGGAACCAGCAAAATCTGTTTTGTACACGGTCGTAAATTGGGGACCTTCGTAAATGGGGACCATATTGTTCTCTATTGCTCAACGTCCCCTATGGAATGCAGAAATTTTTTAAATAATATTTCCCTTTACTGACAAAATTATACTGCAGTCATCCGGGTACTTTTCACAAAAGCAGACAATGAGCTGATTTATTTGTACGACCTGGAATAATAATACTGCCTGATGGATTTTGATGGAATTTGTAGGATCAGGGAGTTTTTTTGGGTAATCGTTGCTGCCAAGTAGTGAAACAATAGTGTTTCATAACTTGCCAGCTTACCTACTCCACATGTACAAATGTAAACCCTGATTGTGGATGATAATAATAATAATGTATCGGAGTCGTATATAGCGAACGTATCTACCAACTATTAGGTACTCAAGGCGCTGGAGATATGTCTATTATTAAAGAAAGCAATTGTTAATTCACAAAACCATTCTTAGATTACTTTATAAACCATTTTGCCATAGGATATGATAATAGGATTTTCTTTTCTTTTGTTTTGTTTTGAACCAGGCATATCCACTCCTCGCCCATTGAGAACCGTCGTAAACCCACCCAGGCAGCTACTGTTCCACCCCCTGGTCTCTCCCATGGATCTCCCCAATCCAGACGAGGTTATCGGAATCCCCTAGACCAACAGCAACAGGCTCTCTCCTACCAACAGCAGCAGCAGCAGCAGCAGCAGCAGCAGCAGCAACAGCAGCAGCACGGGTCGTTTGAGCAGCTACGACGGCTACGTTCAGACAGCGAGCCACTAGATCCCAGCTCTCACATTCTGATCGGCTCGGAGAAGCGTCGCCGATCGTCTACGGACAACTCCCGCATGCATCACCATCCAGGCTTTGAGAGACAGAACTCTGGTCGAGGTGATTCCTTACGAGGAGTCGACCTCTTACGTAGCAGCGGCAGGTCCTTTGAGAGAGATGGTTCTCCGCCGACTGGGTACCAGCAACGGGGTTCTCCACGATACCAAGACGGGGTAAGCGTCAACTCATCCTCGCAAGGAGATATGTACAGGGATGGTTATGGAGGGGGAAGCCCCCAATTTGGGATGTCTTATGGACAGGGGTATCCACCGCACCCGCAAAATAGACATTATCAACATGAACGCTCAGACAGTCAGTTGTCCATATCAAGCCAGCATTCGATAGGGAGCGGGGTCAATGTAGGAGGGGGCGGGGTCAGTGTAGGAGGAGGCGGAGAGCACCAGCATCATCATCAGGAGGAGGGGTCACCAGTCAGGACTGTCCAAGACGACATCCGTAAGCCCGTACCCTCCCCGCGTCTGAAGAAGAAAAGTAAGATGCCACGGATGGGCTTGGGAGCAGTTCAGCATCACTCTCAGCCCCCACCTCACCCCTCCCCGACCAACGCCCATGGCCAAGCCCCACACCACACCCAACAGCAACAACAGCAGCATTCCGTTCCTGGTATCCCACACTCGCAGTCCGGAGAACGCTTCCAACAGCAGTTCCAACAGAGCCCCCCTCCTCACCAAGCCCAGTTCCAACCCCAACTCCCTCCCCCTCCGCCCATTAGCGATTTCCGCTCCGGCACGCCCACTTCTGCCACCACCGCTTTCACCTTCCCCCAGCAGCCAGCCCACTACCCCCACCCCTATCCTTACAACCGACAGGACTCTTTTGAAGCCTCGCCAACAGCAGTGCCCGTCACCTATCACTACAACGTCCAAACTCCCGACTCCAGTGCCAGTCAGGATTCTTCACCCCGTTAGAATCCTCAGACCTTCCTCATCACTACCCGACAAAAGAGTTCCGTCAGAACCTCCACAAGCACTCGGAGAGCCAGCTCTCTCAAACCTCCCAGCACTCATTATCATCTCAACACTCGGACTCCTCCCTCCGTCAGGTCACCTCGGACTCTCAATCCTCGGATGATGTGCTCCGAAGCAGCACGCCTCCCAAACAATCCAAACCTGACAATCAAAACATCCCCTCAACACAACAACAACAACAACAACAACAACAACAACAAGCTCCTCAATCTGAAGACTCCACATCTCAACACATCTTCTCCAAACCCGGCCAGGTCCAGAAATTCAAAGCCAAGCAGAAGCCGAAACGCATCATTGACGACAGTCCCAACCCCATCTACGAGAACCTTGACTTCATCCATCAGAAGCAACGCGAGGACCATCAACGAGTCCGACTACGAGAGCTAGATCAGATCCACTACACCACTCTAGAGCCTCCCCAGGTCCCACCTAGGCAACGGAGACCTCTCTCTGGAATGCCTCCGGCGATGAGCATCATACCCAATGGTGACAGCGAGGTGATCGAAGAGGGACAGTTGGATCTGAGGGACGATGGATCGCAAGAAAACCTCAACAAGAGCTTCGATTCAGATGGTAAGCATTACAGGAACTAGCCACGTCCGAATTACATGGCTGCGGCTGCCAATTACACACGTGTCTATGGCAGCGGCTGAAGCCACTGCCCATAGATACACATTACAGCTAGCCACAGCCAGGTCATTCAGACATAGGCGTACTAATAGGAAGCCCCAATATGTTGTAATTGTAATTTTGTCAGACATAGACATAAGTGAGCCATAGAGTATGTTATAAAGTGGCTTTAACACAAAACTTTCAACCGACAGAAAATGATGATGAGCTCAAAGTATCCCAGGACGCACTGGTCTCCGAGGAGCTGGGTACCGGCGCAGATGACGGGACGTTAAACGACACCCCGGGTCAGAACGAAGTCGAAGATGATGATGATCAAGGCGAGACGGTCCACGAATCGTTGCGACGGAACAAGAAACAACAGCAACAGGACAACGGCTCAATGGTTCCTGGTATGCCACCGACGCTGGAACGGAGCATCTCCGTGCAGGACCAACGCCCATCCTCACTGGTAATAGGAATGGTTAAACCCCCCTCTGACGAGTGGAAGGTGGGTGATTCCGCATGCATAATTAATCGGTTCATGGGTGGCCCCCCAAAAATCTGCATGAATAATTAACCACATGAAAACCCAGCTGGTTTCTGTTTGTTCCTCCCTATTTTTTTCTGGTCAAATTTTTAAATTTGATTTTGTTTGTTTGCTTTCGCAAAACCCACCCCAGCTATATAAACAAAAACTTTTCCTAATATTTGAAACGTTTTACATTAGAAACTTTTAAAGAAAAAAAGAAAAGCAGTTTTTGTGTTGCGGTCAAAAATTATTTGCTACAATTTGAAAACGGTTGCAGCATTGAAGTATTTTGCCATTCAGACTTATTTGCTCTACAGTTAATTTTGCAAAGGGATTTCAGTTTTGCAAATTGTTTTGCGTAATGATGGCTATTTTTTATTTAAAGAAAAAAAAAACCATTCATTTTGCCCGAATCATTTCAGAGCTGTTTGCTTACAAAAATAAATAAATGAAACATTAAAAAAAACTTAAAATTTCTTCAAAAAGTTTTTGGGGAACATGCATATTTGATCCCACCTTCCACAAGTCCCAATCTTTCCAGTTTTATTTTTGTAAATTCTATTACTTCTCTCGGTGGTAAGTTGTGTAGGGCTCTTCTTTTGTTTGGGATTAATAGCAATATTTCAGATAATATTAAATAAGATTTGAAGGTTTGCATGTTAAAGATACAGCAATAAGATTACGTTTTTACAGGCATGCAACTTTTCCTCGGATCAGCTGATTTCCTCTTTTTTCACTTCCAATGTGTGCCATTGAAAATAGAAAAACACTGTACAAAGTCTTGGAAAGATGTGAATTTCCTCTTTTTTTGTGACTTCCCAGTTGCATGCCTGGTTTTAGGTTGCAGCATGTAACAAATCTCTTCTGTGAGGTTCAGTCCAGAATCTTCTTAATCATCTTAGTGTTTATATACAATGTAGTGCTTCCCATCATATCAACAATCTCAAAGCGCTTTACAATTATTACCCTGGGTAAGATAAAATAATATTAGATACGATAATAAAATTCCATCTTATAATAATTATTACCCTGTTCATCCGGCCATGAGACACGTGGCAGCCGATATCAGCGCTCAATCGGTCCTCGACCCTCACAGGTACCCATTCATACTCCTGGGTGGAGAGAGGCAATTGTAGCTAAGTGTCTTACCCAAGGGCACAAACACCATGTTCCTGGCAGGATTCGAACCCACGCACGGCGTTCTCTGGTTGAATACAACCAGAGAAACAGTGTCCAGACAAATCAGCAGAGCATACTGTCAGAAATGTTGTGTTGGCCCCGGCTTTTTCCAGAACCTCGCATTCCCACAAAGAGATTTGTGGAATACACGTGTAGGTGCAACTGCAAAATGTGTCTGATGAGGCTATATAGATACAGTGTTAATTGAGATCCAGTGACAGACTAGTCCATCTGTAACGCCCACTTGAGCCCATTCATACCCTTTTAAACCCACATAACCTGGATAAAACATATCCAAGCCAACCCAATTCAATCTACTTATAAAACCACTGCAACCCATCTGAATCGCAGCCCAGCCCAGCCCAACCCAACCCTTAATTTGTTTTTTTACATACATGTTGCATTAGTTCAGTGTTTGCTTTTTTTACAAAAATCTAGGTAAAAATTGATGCTTTCCCTAACAGTGCTAAACAATTTTTTATTAGAAGCTAATGAGTGAATTATGCAAATCTCCCATCTCCGATTCTCAATATTTAACTCTGGAAAAAAAATTGTACCTTGGATTTAAAGGTTTTTGCCCTTTTGCACAACCCAATTGCACACACATCTGGAAAAGATAGGTCGTTGTTCAGGAAGTACTCTCCTAAATTGGTGTTTTCCTTGATTATATCGAGCTGATATTTCCGGCTTTGCAGATAATCTGTCGTGTCAAAAATAGAAAAGCTGTACTGGCAATACAGGACTTAAGAATTGGTCAGGATTTGAGCGCTTTGTCATGTTGTCGGCATTTTAAAAAGAAATGAGGTGATAACGGTACTCGACTTGATTTTATTGAGCACAACTTCGTCTCCTGAGAAAGTAGTCTCTTTGTTTTGAGCTGGTCGCAGGATTACGCATATGAGTGTTCTTATTATCCGTGTAGCAAATGCCATCGTCGGCCATGAATGTTATTAATGCTTCTCAAGTATCGGGCTATCTTGAGCAAATCTGCACCCTGGGACCCTGCAAAAGCCCCAAGGGTAATTAGACATCCCTTGGACCCCCTCCCTCCCCCCCCCCCCCCCCCCCCCCCCCCCCCCCCCCCCCCCCCCCCCCCCGACTCTGTCTTTACAGTCGCTAATTTTGTTCAGCGGCCGTGAAAGATCTGCAGCAGGAAATGATCGATGAAGGACAATTTAAGCTCTTAATGAATGAAATTAACACCGCTGACAGCGAGAAGAGAGTGCCGTACAGAAACATGGCACATGCAGCTTAGTTGAAAGTCCTCTCTAAGGATGAATTAGGTAACAGAGAAAGTGTGTGATTTCTCGTTGCCAATCTTTGATTTATTCTCGACGTCGATGTTCTAGAACTAAAAAGACAAAAGAAGACAACACCCTTTTTAATGCAGGGTATTCCGAGAATTTGTCATTATTCATACCTGTTCTTTTGCTTCAAATTACATGTATTAGCACGCAACAATGCCTAACATTTACTGAAACTACAAATCCCTCCCACCCCCCCCCTCCCCTGAAAAACAACCCATACGCACTTCATAAAGGAAACACACAATTAACAGATAACCGGTAATCAGCTCTTTATAGCCGGTCCCCAAACCGGTCTTCCTTCCACACAATAGATTACCGCATCGGTGTGAGGTGAAAAGAATTTCTTGTCGGTCGGTTTTGGAGGACGTTGCGTTGTATCTGTGACAGGGCTTGAGTGGCGGGTACCACTTTACCTCCGAGATGATGAAAGAGTGAAGTACGACTAAGCTTACTTGTCGTCTGAAGTGATTTTCGCTGCTGGACTGACACACAAGACTGAATTGCCGGAGCATTGGCTTCAACAATTTGGTCTTTCAAATGTACTAAACTGATCTGAGTTCTCGTGGGAGTGTTACAAGCTTACCAGGCAGGATTCAAACTTCGACCAGCAAACCAGAGGAGTTGGTTCAACTAATGAATGACCCACTTTCAATGACCTAGTTGGAAGACAGTGCCTTGAATCGAATGGAGCAGTTTATTTCTTCACAGTTGTTATCAGAAGTTTGTCATCCTTGCTGCTAGGTTCTGACTGGGACAATTGCATCAGATCTTTTCTGCCAAAAGGAGTTTTTGGAGATGTAGCTGGAGTCGATGGATATTTTGTACTATAAGGATGAATAGTTATATTTAGTGATTCAATGGATGTTTTCTGCCGGAAGAATTTTGTGGTGTTGAAGCAAGCAGTTCAGTAGATATTTCCAGCCGTAAGGAGTTTGTGGATTTGCAGCGACGATTCGATGGATTTTGTTAACTTTCCAGCGAGTAGAGTCAGACGTGTCTGTGTCATGATCCAGCAGAGAATCTGTGTGTGTCTCTTCGGAGAGATTTACGTCGGCATTCACATGGTATACAACCGGGGACCGAGTCCAATTTGGGGACCTGCTAAGCACAGAAAGTATCCGCTTAGCATAAATGGGTCACTGGCCAAAATATCATGGGATGCATATTGCCTGTGACTGGTTCCCAACGGATTTCTGTTTAGCATATAAATTTAGCTAATCTGTATTATCTGCTGCACTGTTCCATGAAGTTGGGCTCTGATTTGAAATAAATTTGAAGTCAATATTTCTTCTGCTCAGAGAGAGCGTACCTTCAATCTTGTGGGCGGATCTTCCCATGAAAAAAATGTTCATTGTTCCTTTGGAATCTCGTTGTATTTTTGTACAAGATTTGTTTGGCTCTGGTCTAAAATGACTTTGAAGTCAATATTTCTTCTGCTCAGAGAGAGCATACATGTACGTTTACCTCGTGGATGGATGTTGCCATTATAGAAATGTTACGGTCCCTTTTGAATTTCATTGTATTTCATTTCATCTACAAGATTTGTTGAAAGCCTTATCAAATCCCACGTTTAGTCTGTAGTGCTGCTGTAAAAATAACGTTCAGTGTTTGCGCAATACATTTTGCTGAAGTGATATTTTTACACTCACATATTAAACTAGTAATAGTAGTGAGAGAAAGTTACTTAAATTTATCAAAGAAAGCGTTTTTTGAATGAATTTTTGAGGTAACACGTGAATGTTTTTGTTCTGTATTTTCCCAGCAAAAACATGGAACGGTCCCAGGTGCGATCAAGCCCAGCCCCTCCCTCATCACAATGGGACGGTCCAAGAAGCCATCGTCGTCGGAGAGTGACTTAGAGAACTATGCTGCGGAGAATGTGAATCGCCATAAGAAGGGCATCTTTAGAAAGAAGATCCCGCTGTCACAGATGCTGTCATTTACTAAGGTATGATATCGTGCTAGGCTATCCCATAGACTTAGCCTATAGTGTTTGCCCGTGGTGCTTAACCATGGTTTTATCCCATGGTTCTGTCCTGTGATACTGTCATATGATCTTAGGATGTGGTCATTTACTAAGGTCCGTTGTAGTGCCAAGGTGTACCATAGAATTGGCCGATGGGCTCCGTGCACAAGTACCCCTTCAACGGCCAGAAAAGGAGAGTTGGGGGAGACCTAGACTGGTTCCCGGTCCATCCACTGTGTATTTCGAATGATCCAAAGTTATTGGGGGGGGGGGGCGGAGATTAGTCTGGGAGACCATTGCAAGTTAAATTTGAATGTATTTGCGTGCTGAGGTCAAGTATGGCTGCTGTGAATCCGTCTCATAATTGGCTCGATTCTCCTCTTTGAAGCAAAAATAAGCACCATGTGGTTGTTACTGGTGTGGTGACAATCTGCTGAAAGGCAGTCAATCGTGTACGTTTGAAATTTGCCATGACAGGGCTATCTCCAGTATCACACGACCTCGATACCAAAGTGTTAAGAAACCCACGTTGTTCATTATCATTTGCATTTTACCATTCAAGTGCTAAACTCGTCCCTTTCATTTGGACCCAACTGCTATCCAGGACCCAATCAGGAAGCCCATGCTCCTAACCCGCGACAAGGTCGTCAAGAAGGAAGCAGTGGAAGTCTTCAAGCTGATCCAGTGCTACATGGGTGACCGAGTCATCAAGAACCTGACCCATGAGTCCGTCTCTCTTGACCTGGTTCGGAGGGGATGGACGGTGGAAGGTGTACGGGACGAGATGTATATACAAGTCTGTCGTCAGACCACGGCCAACTACTATGAGTAAGTCTTAGTTGGAAATTCGCTAACAACTGAAAATATTGTCTGAAAATGTAGCAGACCATGCATTAGCTTACCAGCTAAAATGTCATTTGATGCACGTTACTTTTAAAGGGAAGATACAACATTTGCAAACATCAAAAAACAAAATGATCAAATTACCATGAAATTCTTTACTGGACTTTTGGGAATGACAGTCTAAAGCATCCCGTACAATCACGGCTCCTGGTGTGCTGACATTTTAAGTAGAGTGGTAATTTTGTATCAATTTCCAACGTCAGTGTAACAATATTTGCTTTAACATACTATTCCTCCAAATCCATTTATTTCTGAAAATTACAGCAAAAGCAAAAGATGTACATTCCCTTTAACTGGTTGTCTGTAGACAAATTTGCCTGGCTACTTTGTACAGGAAACCTGTTGTGTTTCCTTTTTCAAAAAATTCCACGCAGTATTCTTGAACAAATCTAGCCCGTCTGAAACAAATGCGCTTCAACGTATTAGACTCAACCAAAAGATACACACACTATAGGTTGCCCGTAAAGTTTTATAATGTACGTGCACTGAGTTTGTAACAGGCCTATTCGGTAAATGCAGACGTACGTGTCAGACACTTTAATGAGCTGCTGTTGGAAAAGTGAATGTGATACATCACTAATAATGTGACATCTAATGAGTAGAAAACAATTACAGACCACACTAAGGTACCACCACCTTAACGACCTTGTTCATCATGTGGTCGGACGTACGCAGAGAATTGGATTTTTACAAAATTGCCCAACAGTGTCTAATAAGATATTCATTCCTTTTTTTTTGTAATTTGCAGTGACAGTTTACGTCGTGGCTGGGAACTGATGGCCATATTCCTGAACTTCTTTCCTCCCTCCATCCGCTTCTTCTCCTATCTGGAGGGCTACATCTACAAGCATCTCACTGGAGACTTTGATACGAGACAGGTACGACAAACAAGACAGTAGGGTCAATTCAAGCTGGTTCATGCTCGGCGCTAAAGCAAACGCGAGTGGGAGTTTGTGACGTTATGGCAAATGCTCACACTGTGAATTCCGAAAAGTTTAACATAATGTTCGGTGTTGCTGAATGTTTAAGGGGAGTTTGTGGCCTAGTGGTTAGGGTTCGTGACTCATGATCAGAGGGTCCGGGGGTTCAAATCCAGCCGCTGGTCATACATTGTGTCCTTGGGCAAGGCACTTCACCCCCACTTGCCCCTCTCCACCCAGGAGTATAAATTGGTACCGGCATTAGCTGGGGAGTAATCCTGTGATGGACTAGCATCCCATCCAGGGGGAGTAGAAATATTCTCAGTCGTTTCATGCTACTGAAACCGGAGATAAACGCCGGCCTGATGAGCCACATTGGCTTGGGACAGACTTTACATACTCGGCACTAAAGCCAATTTGAGTGGGAGTTTGTGACGTTATGGCAAATACTCACACTGAGAATTCCGAAAAGTTGAACATTATGTTCGGTATAAGTGAATGTTTGGTATAGCGGTGTTCAGAATAGCGACGTTTCACTGTAAGTGGTTTGATTTCGTCTTGTTTAATTTTTTTGTGGGGGGGGGGGGGGTATCTGGAGCTGGCAGCCCCACTACCCATGCTACTCCCCAGAGTACTGTTAAAAAGGTTGCTAGTTTTAGTTGGTCCTTTATAGATAGCCTTCAAAGATAACAAAGACTTGCTTTATTAACAGCATCCTCTGTAATAACTGAGAGATTTCTGAGTTATGTAAGGACTTCCTGACAATTCTGACTTCACTTTCTATGTCTGCAGGTTCCTGTGCGACAGTACGCTGATCACTGCTACAAGAAGCTAGAGAGGATAGCACAGACCGGCGCTAGGAAAGGCGTCAAGAAAATCACCCTTGAAGAAATCAATCTTGCCAAAGTAGGTGTCTCAATTCTAGTTCTTCAACTGAGTAAAAGCTATTCATAAGATGGAACCTTGCTTCGAGTTGATGTAAATCAATAGGTTTTGCCCTTCACAGATGTGTAAACACTTTTTACTCGGTGTGTTACCTCCTGAGTGAAAGTTGGAAAAAATCACCCGGGTGGGACTCGAACCCACCACCTCCTGTTTTCTAGTGCAGTTGTCTGATGACTGAGTGTACAGTGTTTATAAGTCGATGAAGGGCAAAATCTATTGATTAATTAAAATTTGTTGGGAGAGAATGCAAATTGATCAGAAATTAACCCCAAAACCCTGTAGAACCTTGTAAAATCTCAATTTCGCATTCTGCGCTTAAAGGTAGAGTCCATCATTTGCAGCTATCCAAAAAGAAACTGACAAAACTATTGTTGAAAAGCATACTTGGTTTAAAGATAGTAATGGCACTAAACTCCCTGTGAAATTATTCTTTCTGGCAAGCTGTCATTTTGAAGAAAACAATGAAAGAAGGCCATTTCCAAAGATGCGCCTAAAGACACATTTTTGGAAATTTCTGTTAGTAATTGGTTTTAATTCGTCGACTGGTACCCGGAAGCGTTGACATGACGCATACGCAAACGCGGTTGCTACAATTTGTCTGTTCAGTTTGGGTACTCAAACTTTCCCTCGTCCAGCACTAGAGGGCAGCAAACCTATTTTCTGTGCAAAGAATTCCTTGTCTTAAACTTGTCTTGGTTTTTCTTCTCAACTGTAGAACTCCGTCTTTCACCCTTCCCTGTTTGGGAACACCTTGGATGACGTCATGGAGCTACAGAAGGAACGCTTCCCAGATCGCGAACTGCCGTGGATCGCCGTCGTGTTGGCCGAGGAGGTCCTTCGATTGGAGGGAGAGAAGGTCGAGGGGATATTCAGGTTAGAGCGCCCTCTAGGGTTGAGTTTTGGAATCATAATTCAGTCGCAAGTCAGTTGCAAGTTGGTCGCAAGTCAGTTGCAAGTCAATCGCTAGTCAGTCACAAGTCAGTCACAAGTCAGTCACAAGTCAGTCACAAGTCAATCACTAGTCAATCTCAAGTCAGTCGCAAGTCAGTCGCAAGCCAGTCGCAAGTCAGGTTAGAGTCCTCTTGTAGGCTGAGTTTGTAGAGCAGTATATTCTCATTTAAATTTTATAAATAAATTGTTTTAACAATTGTTAAACTTGTTCAGCTACTTCAGTACCATGTTTTATCAGAATCTTTCTTTTAGCATTAGAAACTGCCAGAATCAAAACATGTTACTAATAATATTGTGGTCATTCTAGTCAGCAGGTATTTACTTGTCACGTTTGTTTCAATTTCCACAGAGTTCCCGGTGACATCGATGAGGTCAACGTCCTCAAGGTCAAATGCGACCAGTGGATCATGCCGCAGTGCGATGACGCCAACATCCCAGCATCCCTCCTCAAACTCTGGTACCGTGACCTGTACGATCCCCTCATACCCATGGAGTTCTACGAGCGTTGTATCCAGTTCTGTAACGACGCGCAGGCCGCACTGACCATCGTACAAGAACTGCCTGAGCTGAATCGGCTGGTGCTCTGCCACTTCATTAAGTTCTTGCAGGTTAGTTGGTACCCTGCTCGTGCTTCTCCTAGTCATTATCGATAGAGGGAGCCGCCTGATTTTAAAAAAAAAAAAAAAAAAAAATCGGCTATAATTACAAAAAAATCTATTTATATAAATCTGGAATTAAAAATAAGGTTTCTAAAAATGCAATTTTAAATCGGAACTTTAAGAAGTTTTGAAAAGTTGTGCAAAGAAATTGACTGGAGTAGGGTTTGAACTTGCGACCTCCAGATTGCTGTTCTGGTGCTCTACTAACTCGGCTATCCAGCCCTATGTATGTGGTTCCCCACTTGGTCAGTGTCTTTGTTCAAGGGGCGCTAGTCAGAAGCCATAAACCCATATATGCCATGTAGCCAGGGATCACGCCCAAAGTCACATGCGGACCAAGGTTATTAGATTATGCTTGTGACCATGATGACAGCAAAAAGTTTTCATCAATGGACAAGTTCAAACTCTTTGACCAGCAGATGTCTTTTTTTAAAAGGCTCTTTTGCGGTTTGCTTTTGTGTCTCTTATGAATGCAAAGATCCAACCTGACTTATTTTTCTGGCCACAAAAATTTCAAAATTTTTAAAGTAATTCCATAACTAAACATGGGCAGATTTTTTTCAATCAATGTTTCATTTAAAAGATTAACACTTTTGTATTGGTACTTGTACTAAAATAGAAATTTGAAAAGAAAGAGTTTTTCGCAGTGTACCTTGAATATTATGAAAGGATGAGCAACTGTAAGATTTTGTTGACACTCTTGACTTCTTTCTCCCACCAGATCTTTGCTCAAGAAGAGAACGTCGTCAAGACCAAGATGGACATCAACAACCTGGCCATGGTCATGGCTCCCAACTGCCTGCGCTGTGCCTCCGATAATCCCCAAGTCATCTTTGAGAACACGCGTAAGGAGATGTCATTTATGCGTCTACTCATCACAAACCTAGACACCACGTTCCTGGCCGGTGTTATATAAACCTCTCTTTCCCCGATCTTTGATTGAAGAAAGTGTGAGTTCCGTACACATTTTTTAAAGGTGTAAATCTTGTAGAAGGTTTCTTCGGAAAGTTTGAAGATGGCTGTTGGGTTTCATTGAGAGTTTTGCAACAGAGCACGTATTCTAGCTCAAGAGATCCATAGACTCCAACACCACGTTCTCGGCCATGGTGCATGGTATTGAGAAAAGGGCGCCCTCTTGTGATCCGTTCCGGAAAATCATTTCAGCCAATGTCACACTCCGGATAAGTGAAATAAATTACCGTCAAGTTGAGTGCCGTAAAGTTAAAAAGTGTGAATAAATCTGGTTGAGCAAAGAGAAAATTCCACAAGTACTTGAACCTTCTTTGATGTTATTTAAAAAAAAAAACCAAAACAGCTTAATTCTTCAAATTTATTTTTAAGAATTTGAATTTAAACGGAAAGAAAACTTAATTTGCCACCAAAGGCGTGCATATTTGACAAGAAAGGAGCTATAAGTAAAATTTCTCTGGGCAGAACACTGGACCAGCTATCCATGAGTACAAGGTTCAAGTTCTGTTACGGTCTGGCTCTCTTTGCTTAATCTCGTTCTGCACAAAAGACGGCTGTATCATACTAAACATTTGTAATAAATTACGGTGTGTAATATATTAAGCAAACAACCCTCATTCAATTGTGTACATTTTTTTTTGCAACAGAACAGCAGACGTGGGTTCAAATTTGCAAAAGTGTTGGGCCCAAGATTCTAATATTCTTACGAGCTCACAGTACCTACAAAGCATGTAACGAAAAGCACAAAATATTTCCCTGTATTCAGAAAGAAAATAAGCTACAGTGTTCACCAATTATGGAAATTAATGGTAAAGAGAACTGTGATTTCTAATTTGATAACAATTTTAATGCCTCAGTGCAGGTGGATCTTTCAAACAGGTCACATAATGTCCAGCTGGTTACATCACGTATCCTCTGCACAAGGATAAACGACTTCCACAAATTTCTGGTTAGAGGCGTGATATGGCACTTGGATCTCATGCATGCGTGTGCCCCAGACTCGGCGCACGACTGCAGTCTTTCAGTGGTCAAATTTCTGTCAGGACGCCAGCTGTAGGCGATCATGGCACGTGCATTGTTCTACATGTTCTATGCGTTATTCTGTGCGCGGACGCGGCATATCACGCATGTAGACAATCTGTTCCGTACATTTGGTACACAATTTCAGATGAGTCGTTTACCCTTGTGTAGAGGATCCGTGGTTACATTCACTTACTCATTGGATGCAAGAGAACTTCTTTAAGTGGCATGAGGAGCCACTGAGGGTGTGCTTGAGTAGCTCACACGGATCGACTCCGGTAAAGGCAGATGGGTTAATCAATTGCTCAAACGTGGCCATCATTATCCTCACGTGACCTACGTAGCCGACACCGTAGCCACTGACAAAACGCCCTTTTTGAACCAAGTCTTACTTTCAGATTTACTGCTTTGTAGCCAATCGTAAAAAGTAACGACGTCTGGCTGGAATTAGCGGCCTCTAAAGTTGCAACGAGCTCAGAAAATAGTGATCTTGGGGTCCACTTCAGATTCCGCTGTCCTGCCACCGTATTTGTCAGTTTCTTGAAACGAACAATGCATGTGTGTGTCGTACTTCCACCACTGACTCTGCCTCACGAGCAGAATCTGTGGTGGCTGACCTGGGTTAACCCCGAGAATGTCGTCAGAGCTAATAGAACGGCACAGGGCTGACCCGAGTCGACCCGGGTCATCTAATCAAACGCAGCCTAAGTCTAAGAAAGGAAAAATGCCTGAATTTGAAACTTTAGACTGTTTGTACTTCTAGCATGTTATATAACTCAACTTTGTATCCTAAGTAAAAAAATAATAATAAAAAAATCAACTTGTGTATAAATGATTGGATCACTACATATTGTTATAAATAGTTGAAGTTATGTGAATTGTACAAAGGTCTGTAGAGCAGATGGTAGCCATTTTCTTTTTGGTCAAACTGGTTAGCGTTTTATAACTTGAGTTAGTCAAGCATGGCATTGTTTGTGGATTAAAAATATAAAACCAGTTTACAAAATTTAAACCGGTTTAAAAAATTTAAATCGGTTTACAAAATTTAAACCGGTTTAAAAAATTTAAATCGGTTTACAAAATTTAAACCAGTTTAAAAAACTTAAACTGGTTTAAAAAATTTTCAACTGGTTTAAGCACGGTTTAGAGGGAGTTAGCTGCCTTTCAACCAGATTACCATTGTTTAATGCTCAACTGTAACGGTTAACAACGAACCCTCACTTTTGAAAAAGTTTAAAGAAAGGTACACACACAAAAAAAAAATCATTTTTTTCCCAAAATTGTCAAATTCTACTTGCAGCCACAAATTGCTACGTCTACCACAACTAAGTGAAATATAGGGGTGTATTTATGAATATTTAAATTAAAAAAAAAAAGCTTGGGTTTTACTTGGGTTAATTTGGGCCAGTAAATAGACCTACATGTATATGAGATAAATGGTGGTACATTTGCATATTACATCTTTAAGGTATGATTGAGATGAGGTTCGGGCATCCCTACTATAAAACTGGGAAAGAGTTCCCTACTGGGCCACCACTCATATTCCCAAATATGACCTGAAAAGTACCAACAGTTGTAAATCTGATGAAGAAACACTATTTAAGGAGTGCAAAAATTCTGAAAATACTTTAACTTTTTTTTGTCATGGCCCATAGACTTAGTGCAGGAGGTCTGAGTGGTGGCCAAGTATGGAATTCTTTCCTAAAACGGAGATTTGGGCTAACTGTGTGTGTTCACATTTTTTTATATTGTGTATATTAAATGAGGGTATTTATTATTTAGTTATGAAAGAGGGAGTGGCGAACAAAAACGAGGAGGGCTCAACTCAAATGGGGAGGGGCTAAGCCTCGTCCGCCACCATGTCCACTCTCAGCGGAATGATAGAAAATGAACAAGTCCAAGCCAGATCAAACTCAGTGTAAATAGAAGTTTTGTATTTTTTTTTGGGGGGGGGGGGGGACTTGGCTTGTTTCCCAATCATTAAAATAATTGTATATTCATGATAATTTTTTTTTAAAAACTAAGTTGGGAGCTTTCCATTCTGCCTTAACTTGGTTTAGCTGTAGCTAATCTGGTTTAGTATTGTCAAACCAGTTTGTGTAAGCAATACATGTACTGTTTAAGAAGCGCAGTGTGATTGCATCAGTTGCTCTACATTTTCCGTTCGACATTCTAACATTTTGGAATTACTGCAGTTCATTGCCATTGCGCATTTCCTGAATAAAATTATGATTTCCGTCGACAGTGTTTGAAATAGTCAAAGAAAAAATACTAAACTTTTTAAAAGTCTGAGAATTCATGACATTGCTTGATAGGATTCACCAGAATAGAGTTTTGCAAGGAAATAAACGTATTTTGTTGGCAAAAAAAGAAATGCGTTCCATTAGCGGATCCAGAGGGGATGCAGCTGGTGCATGCCCCCTCCTATTTTTTTTTTTTTTTTTAGGAGGTATGTCTTGTTTCCCCCCCCCCCCCCTTTCTTTTCCTGTCAACTTGTTATTTAATCACGTCAAAGACAGACATTGTCACCCACATAGCAAATATATGTTTGGGTTTTGCCTCCGTTTATGACCCCCCCCCCCCCCCCTTTCGGCAAATGTTGGATCTCCCAATGTGTTCAGACCCATAACTGTTGGTATGGTTTCTAATTTCTATTTAAAAAACAAAAATTAACGCATTTCACCTGAAACGGATTGTGTAAACGAAAAACGTTTGGAAATTTTGCCCCTTTTTTAATGCATTATTGTCAATTTTCTTAACCTTGAAAATGTGGTAATCAAGATACAAATATTTGCATAACAATCCATTTATTCATGAATATTCATATTCTACTTCACCAAATGCATGAAATTATGTAACTAGAAACAATGAATGTTGTATTTCTTGTATCACTGAATAGCCTTGCAATATATCTGTCACCTTTTTATTAGTGCAAAGTACTTGTACATGTTCAAATCATGCATATGCATGTTGAATATGTTAATTATGCAAATTATTTTGAAATTATAAACTTTAAAAAAGGGTGTAATGTCATTGTTTGTACGGCTTTGGTTTTCAGGAACTTTCACTGTTAATTGTAATGGGCACTGTACCCGTACTTAAATTGTATACCTTTTTTTATATAAAAAAGTGGAAAACAGGCTGACTTTCATATGATAAAGGGACGATTAAGGACCCTTGTATTCAAAGTTGTTTAGTGGTTAAAGTTTAAAACAAACATGGCAGTAATATGCAGAGTACCAGTCAATAAAAAGTCTGTGTTGTAATGTTTGGGAACCAACCTGATTTGCACATCCAACTGGTATCCTGATATAGCAGAAATGGGCTATAAAAGCTGGTAACCAAAAGCATGTTTTATAGTGAAATGTTACTTATTAGTGATTTATTATTTTATAAAAGGGTTTATCATGGAAGCAAAATAAGATGTTTTATTTGCAAGTTTTTTTTCCAAGTTCAGAAATGTAGAAAGTGTAGTCAACACTCCAGTAATGTATGAAAATTGTTGATTAATAAATTATCAATAAGTTATCAAAGTTGATGCTGGCTCCTGTGTTTCAGTGCATTCAGAGTTTTTGGAGTAAGTTGCTGTGCAGAGAATCATCAGAAATTTCGACTTCTCAGGATTGTGCTTTCAGTTTCAGGTAAGTATCTAACTTCCTTCAATTATTTTAGAAGACATTTTGGACAAAGTTAATGAAGCAGATAACACTGAAAATATTGTGCCAAGACCACACATACTGGTTTAATATAGAAAGACAACGTGTTAAAAATACAGGCACTGTATGGAAAGAAAATTGTAACCACACAAACAAAATTAAATTGTGCCATTTATGAGAAACTAATCCAATTGGCTATCAGCTTCGGTCCAAAAATTCAGCCACGGGTATCAAATGATCGAAAGGAGCAATGCCCACAGCGATTTTTGGCAAGGTATGCACATCTAGAGTTGGAAAATGTGTTATAGCTTTGTGGTGTGAGTGGTGGCAGTTTTTGGGTGTTATCACTTTTTTAATTTTTTTCAAAATGGCCGCCAATATGCTTCTTATCGGATTAATTATGTGTGGTAGCAAGCACGTTTTGGCCGCCATTTTAAAAAAAAAGTGATAGCACCCAAAAAGCTGCAACTGCTGCAATGCTTTCACATATTTTCCAACTACAAAGGTGCATACCTTGCCAAAAAATCACAAAGAGCATTATTCCCCTCATTTGATACCGACCAAACCCCCAGGCTGATGGCCTATAATGGTAGTTTCGAAAACGAAGACCCCTAATACAAAGACCAAAGACTCACTCGAAAACATAAGCCCACTCGAAAACAGACTGTTTTCGAGTGGGTTTTCTTTTTCGAGTGGGTCTTCGGTCTTCGTTTTAGGGGTCTTCGTTTTCGGTGACTGCAATGATCTATCAGATATGGGTCATTCAATAAAATTGGGTCCACTTCTGTCCCTGTTACATCGAACATTTATGATGTTGTAATTCTGGATACACTCCTGAATGTATTCTTGCTCCAAGAGTGATTATGTGACGCAAACGACGTACCCAACAAATGAAACATTTAGTAATACTTTGAAGTAAATTTTAAAGCTATAGTCCATCATTTGCAGCCATCCGAAAAAGTAACTGGCGTATTATTGTTGAAAAACATACTTGGTTGAAAAATAGTAAGTGGACTAAACTCCCTGTGAAATTAATCTTTCTGGCAAGCTATCATTTAGAAGTAATCAACGAAAGAAGGCCTTTCCAACGGTGCGTCTTAAGACGCACCGTAGGAAAATTTAAATTAGTAGTTCGTTTTGTTATTCGGTGCAGCGCGCGCAAGCATTGGCACGACGCACAGGCGCGTGCGGTTCCTATAATTCGTCGGATCAGTGCGCGACATCGCGTATAGCTGCAATTCAAAACATGATTCAGCAACTTTTGATTTGAAATTGAGATCCTAGAATGCTGTTTTTCTCGTAATATACAGCTGAAGCTGAGCTGAAACTTCATCAGGTTAGTTGTTCAGTATCCTTCATTAGATTTTGAACACTTTTGTTGCTTCAAGCGAACAAAATGCACAAATTACAAATGATGGACTATACCTTTAACTGGCAATGGACAAAAACGAAATGCAAAATGCAGGTATGGAATGCTGTAGAATGTTACAATATGTAATTTAGTTGAATAGCAAATTATAAAGCTCAGAGGTAACGGGCACAGGAAAAATGACACACTTTGGACCCTGAAAAAGAATGTCTATAATTAAAACCAAAGTGCTACAGAAATATGAACGTCACAAGCATTGCATGCACAATACTGTCAGAGATTTGATAAATACATGTACCTCACTGGCTGAGTAAAAAATAAAACAGTTTATCGTCCAGGTTTTTGAAAAATGAAAGAGGCGGGTACCTTTCTTTTCTTTTCAAAATGGCGGATTTTCCAAGATGGCGGTTGGATTCTTCCATTTTATAGCCTCTTTTTCTGATACAAAAATTGTGTCCACAGGGCCTATAACCCTTTCTACATAGCTACCATTTTGTTTGAAACAGACAATACATTTTCAAAATGTAGCAAATGTTTGAATTAAAAAAACAAACAGCCGGGACGAGAACTGGTTTATTTTTTTTTACTTTGCCTATAAAAAGTTAAAGGCTTTTTGCTTGGGTTGGACCACTCAAGCAATTCAAATATACTCCAATAAGACTCCTTTTTAAAAATACATTTAATGATTGGCACTACACTACACAAATGTGCACTTTGTTTTTAGGTGGTTTAAGTTTTGCATACATCATAAAAAGTATTTTTTTTCCATTAAAGCTTACATTCAATTAACCACAGATTTTTAATAATTAAAAAATGCATAATTACGAAATTAGCTCCAGAAATTTTTACGCAGACTCGGACATTTTTATTCAAAACAATGACAAAATCAATAAAAATCTCTTTAAAAATTGCGATTTCATTTAATGTAAAGAATGCTAAAAACAAAAAAAGGGAAACATGTTTTCGGCAATAACTTAAACAAAGGAATGTTTGTCAAAAATGAGATCGCATTAAGTCTCTCACACTGAGGTTGATTGTTTAACCAGTTTGCGCTGGAGGCTGTGTATACATGCAAAGTTTTGCGGTATTTGGAACGGATGACGGATAAACACGCAGGGAGCGAGGCCTGAAATATCTGTCAGCGACCCGCTCGCAGCGAGTGAGGCCGGAAATATGAGTGTGCTGCCCAAGGGAGATGGCTTCAACCCGCCTGGCTTGAGGTCGAGTGAAAAATAATCCCGCGCCTCGTTCCGTTCTTGTCAAAACAATCCCGGCGAGAATTGTTAAAAAAAAAATGCATTGTCCGTGTCTCACTCAGCATTGTTTTTTCTAGTGCCAACAGTTTCTAACAAATGAGATGAAAATGTAGAAATCAACAGATAGTTCAAAATCACTCAATTTCATTGAGCTGTAAAGCAGAGAACCAGTTACTGTCAGTATACACATCTAAGGGTATCTTGGCTGGTAACCCAAACTTTTTCAGTGTGCTTAGCAAATGTGTACAAAAGCCACTCCACCTTTTTTTTTTCTAAACATAATCAGTCTTCATTAAATTCGAAAATTTAACATCGCATTGCTGGTGGATTTTAAAGTACAATTTTAAAACAAAGTGAAGAGAAAGTTGGAGGGTTTTTTTTCTTAGCAATAGTACGATAAACTGAGACACTATATTTGACTGATTATGTAATCTTATTATTTATTGTCAGTACTGATTATCCTACATTGTAACTTCTCACTAAATCATGATTACAAATCTATGACTGGATCGAAGAGCTATCATTGGCTTATAACAATTACACTTGGAACTGCCTTTTTTTTAAGAATGGAAAGTTTAAACTGTATTTTTTACACTTTAATGTAGTTCATGAGAAATTAACTGTCTGCTTTTTGACTTGTTTTTGACTTTTGACTTTTTTTCCTTCCAAAATTGTATAAATCAAGACAAAGCGAATGTCAGACATACATGTATTTTGATAAATGATGAATACTTTCTTTGAGAATTTGGTGTTTGATAAATACTTTGAGAATTTGGCGTTTGTTTCATACCTTTCTTTAGTTTATTGGGGCAATGTTTTCATGACGTAACCATTAAACCAACTTACACAAATGTTTTTCAGAGCTCAATCAAGCTTTTCACTTACATGTGTCATGTCATCAATAAAACGATAAAATTGTTATCTGTAACTATAAATGTATATTTTTAAATGAACCACAAAAGAAAACTGACTAGGTGAAATATAATTATTTCAAAGTTTTTTTTTTTCAATTTGCTTTGTTCAACTTTAAAAATAAATGTATATTGTTATAATTATATCCATGATAAAAAATACTACTCAATTGGAACACTAACGGACGTGCATGCACAAAGTGATGAAAACAAACGCAACATGAAGACTTCCAAAAGTTACAAATAAACAGGGCTTACAAAAGCACGTCCGAAATCACTTCAACTCTAAAAAACACGAACGGAATACATTAAAAGAATAACCTAAAACTTCCTAATCATAAATACAGTGCACTCTTTCCGGTTCATAATTTAATGAAAAAAAATCTTTTCCACAAAATATATACACTCACAAAAATCGGCCAAGTGCACTTTTTTTTAATATATATTTACAACAAAATTAAAAAAAAAACAGGCACTTGCTTAGGCGAAAGAACTGAAAAAGAAAGGCATTTGGAAACAAAAATTCAGAATTATGAAAAAAAAAAAAAAATACAATTTAAAAAAAAAAAACAGTGCAGTTTCAAACACTGTTCCCATTTTGAAAGGCCCTAAATCCTCTTAAAATTCTTGTCCTTTCAAATTTCCCAGAAATTTTTTAACAAATTTTGAATGTACTGAGATTTATGTGGGCTAGAACAATCCTCAAAATTGTTTGGATCTTTTTACAGAGTTTCTACCCCATAAATTTTACATGTCAACAACAAAAAAAGAATCTCTCTCATAATTATGATTATAAATCTTACGGACTCCGTGCACAAATACCCCCTCAACGGTTCTTTAGAGAGAGTTGGGCGGGGCTCTTGAACACATCGCCGACATACACTTGGCGCTAATGTGAAGAAGCCACTGATATGTGCGCATTCATAAAATCCTTGTTCCATATGTGCGCAAACAAGTGCTCATGCCATGTATCGCGCACGCAATGTTTCGCGCATACGGACTTTCACATGTGTTCACAACGTCCCATCTACCCTTCATACACGGACTCGCCCACCAGATACAACCTGACATCACTATAACTCAGTGGTGACGTCGCTGTAGACTCGGTTACCAGCTCCGGCGTCCTTGCGGACTACCGAGTAGCGAATGGACGAGTTGTACGCTTCCTGTTGCTTGCGGTTCTTCCTGGTGAAGATGACGATTGCGATGCAAATCACCACGATGACTAGAACGGGGATAATGATGGCAAGGATGTCTGCAAATGTAGGAGAATTGAAGAAAAATTAGAAAACTTGCCATGTGGCATGGGTGGCTTGTGCAAAAAGCGCTCGCCTCTCACCAAGGTGACCACGGTTTGAATCCTGGCCGCGGATCGCATGTGAGTAGAGTCATGCGTTGGTTCTCTCCTGTGCCATGAGGGTTTTTCTCCGGGCCCTCCGGTTTTCCTCCCTCCGGAAAAATCAAACACTTTCGATCTCAGGCTGTGCTCCGTGGTCATATATGGGTCGATGTGGCCGGCAGCCATAGGCGCCTTTACGTGCCAGCGGCCCGACCACGTTGTAGCCGCGTCCTTCGCAATTCAGCATACCAGCTGCGAGTAAGTATGATTAGCCTCCCAAATTATTATTATTATTATTTTCTCAACTTTCACCTCTGTGTCCCGAGTTATAGGATTTTAATTTCTATTTGTACCTAATTCTTCAGGATTTTCCTGGAATAATATTCCATGATTTTCCTCGCACTTCAAAAACTGAACATTTTTTTCGTCTACTCTCTCCAAGTTTATTCTGGCTTGTGATTTTCAGTAAAATGCCACAGGTGTATTTTTGCGGATTTCTTGGATTTACTTGGCATTTCTTGGAGTGTGTGGCTATTCATAACTGTGGTGAGCATTTTAGAGGGTGTGGCATAAGTTACTTTTAGGACCCCCCTGTTTTCCGCCGTTGCTATTTTTACAAAAGTCGAACCTTACGCATGTGAAGGTTGTCAACTGAATGGTTCTTGACCGTAACTCCCTGGCATCTTTTAGTAGGAACTGGACCAATTCCATCATAATCCATCAATCACTGTGCTTCCAATACAAAACTGTACATGACATAATGGTATCCACCACTGACGCACTGGTTGGCATTGATGGACTTGCTACATGGCTTTTATCACAATAGCAGTACAGGAAGCTAGGCAAAATCAATCAGATACCCCTAGCACTGCTTCAGGCCATTAGGCCCAAGTCATACTCCATCAATATTTAGTCATGCCAGCCCTCCTGGACCAAGTCCCCCAAAATCCACCAAAATGGGGTGATGGATTTTGATGGAGTTGGGGTGGTTAGGGTTAACTTCCCTTCAGAGCCATGAATCAGAAAGAAGAATCAAATTTGGTCTCGGACAAGTTCAAAAAATATTAATGCATTTTCATCAAGGGTCCTAAAAGCAATTCAAAGGATGTAGTACAGCAAGGATTAGAGCGCCCTCAATGGGTCAAGACTGCAGCCAATACAGACATCTTGTACTTACATAATCTATTGGGTTCCTCTGGCTCTAGTGTGGTGCCCACTATGGGTGATGTCATCACAGACTGCGACGGTGCGTCTGTCAGGGGTTGCGTCTGGGCGTCTATTGTGGTGTTTGACTGGGTGGGGCCACTCACTGGAGCAGCAGCCGTTGACTTCAAGCTTTCTAAAATGTGAAAGTTTTTTTTGGTGGGGGATGGGAAAAACATAAAAAAAAATTAACGGCGATCAACTTTAATCCATCCATGTCCTCAAAAATCAACTAGTAGGGTTAGGAGGATTTTTTTAAGGACACAGGAACCATTTTGGTAGGATTTTGAAGAATGACATCACACCGCCCTATTTGAGGGCCACTCAAGGCAAGGGCAACACAAAGAAGGGATAGAAAGGGGAAATCTAAGAAAAAGATAAATAACCTGAAGTAGAAGATAAGTAAGAACGTAAGCTTACTTGGATTAAAGATCCTATGTATGGCTTTTATGCCATATATTATTGAGTTGCCCAGTGCCCAGAGCCCATAAACAACTCCAGGAAAAAAACATGTTTCTGAGTACAAGACTTCCCGTCATATTCAAACCATTCTTTCACAATAGATATTTCTAACTAGTCTCCCATTTATCCTACAGTATAGCTCACCTATAAAGGCAGAGATTTCTCCTCCGTCGGCACATGTTCCAAGAACGGTTTTCTCTGCTAGCCAAGCTAGGCTGGTGTCACATACAATGGGATTGGAGCTCAGATCTCTGCACAAAGGTAAGGGACAAAATAAGAGACGAAAAATTTATTTAATCTTGACATATTTTTTCATCAAGTATTCTAATACTAATAAAGAGCATTTTTATGGTGCACAGTATCGGAAAAACAAAACAGTTGATTGTAGTAGATAGTAGATTTGCATAGGAAGTGCAAGAATCTTTTATTATTAACATTAACCTTCCCAAATCCTACGAAATCCTTTTTGCAGGATTGAGGCTATGGCAAAAATGTGTAGCTGGTTTTAGAGGATGCACTGTGACAAGGTCTTAGGCCGGACCTTGAGTTGTTTATGCTCAGCCATGCATAAATTTATGCCTTGATTTATACTTGGAATCCTACGCACTGCTCCAAGATGTCACAAGCTCTGCCTCAGCATATTGACAGTGATTGCTGGAGGATTTTGCAGGATTGAGGCAGTGGTCACTCCTCCAAGGACCACATTCCAGAAATAACAGAGGATTTGGGAGGATTGAGACAGTATGTAATTTTACATGGAGGCAGTTTGATTTTTTTATGCTTTCATTTCTCTGAAAAATGCCTATGGAGTTAGGGCTAAGAAAAAAGAAATTCTTACAATGTGAAGTTTGCTTGCACAGTTTGCTCCGCAATGCTAGTCAAGACATTCCTTGCAAGATTCCTACAAGAAAATAGAGAAAGAAAGGAAGACAACTTTGAAATGAATTCATCTTGTGATGGTTCGCAAGGCACTACAAGTGTCACAGTGAGCTGCAATACACAAAAACTTTACAGTCAAATGCTGAAATTGTTTTTATTAAGTTGAATAAAGAAAGTGACTAGATCGGGGTTTGAACCTGCGACCTTTGTATCGCCATTCTGGTGCTCTACCAACTGAGCTATCCAGCCCTATGTCAGAGGTTCAGCATTTTGTCAATGAGTTTGTTCAATGTCCCTGTTCAACTTTTTTAAATAAATCATTAAAATGCACCTAGCCAGTTTCGCTTTGTGGGTTTTTTTGAAAAAAAAGGTTAAAATAGACGGACAGATGGACAAGTAGAGAATTGATAACGGACAAAGGAACGGACAGGCTTACAATGTTCCAAGCTGTGTATATCCACCCAGTACATCGCTGGATATTGAAGGAATCAAGTTGTCACTCACGTCTCTGTAAGAAAATTGATAAAAAAAATATGGATAAAAATTCTACAACTGCCTTCATCCAGATTCTTCCCACGCACTGTCTCACTCCGGAACGTCTTACCTGAACGCTGTTTTGCTATTTTTATCTCAGTTCAAAAATATACCTTAGCAAAGCAAATTTGATTTCCTACATGTATAAGCCGGTACATGTACATATATGTAGGCTTAATCCTCCTATGCAAACATACATGTACATTTTGTGTCAAGTAGTCCAGGGTAATTAATCAAGTGACTGTTTTCAAAAATTAAGAATTCCCAGCCTACAAAATTCCCAGCCTACAAAATGACAGATTATCTGACTGTGGCTGTTTGTTTGTATTAATCGATAAGGGCGATTCCACGGTTACTCACGTTACATTTTTGATGTACTTTTGAGTTTCCTTGGGCTGTAATTACCTTACTGAAAAGGTTTAATAACTGTTATCCCCATGGTAGATAGAGTAGACCTAGACCTACCTAAGCACCAAAGACGACATCCAGAAAAATGTGTTATGTATGATAAACAAGCCGCACAAAATCTGTTACTTACGTTACGAAAATGTAACGTGAGTAACCGTGGAATTGCCCATAAGCTTTGCTTTGGCTGTGGGTAATTGATAAACTAGCTGTGGCCCTCATGTTCTGTTGACTGAGTTTTACTAGTCACAGTGCTTGCTTGACATATGATCTGACTGCTGGGGCCAATTTCACGGCGCTGCTAAGCACAAAAAATTGCTTAGCACAAAAAAACTCTGGCTCATAAAAGCAGGTTATCAGCCAAAACTCCACATGATGTATATTGCTTGTGACTAATATTCAGCTGTTGTTTGCTCTAAAGCATGAAAATCACATGGAGTTTTGGCTGATAACCTGCTTTTATAAGCCAGACTTTTTTTTGTGGTAAGCAAATTTTTGTGCTTAGCAGCGCCGTGAAATTGGGCCCTGGTGACTAGCCTTTGTGAAAAGTATATCAGGGGAAGTGGATGGAAATTTTGACTGTCTGTGACTGTTTAAATAGCAGGAGGGTTAAACAAAAACCACTTGCATATAATACAGACAAATTTATTCATCCCCACCATTCCGTACCGAGGCGGACTTACAACTTGACAGAAAGTAATACAGTAAAAAAGAACTACAATTTACATGTATCTGCAGGGCAAGCCTATTTACTTAGATCTTTGGCAGGGTAATAAAGTACCCATCTGTTTGAAAGGTAATGGAAGTCTGAGTGGACTTGTTTCAGATATGAACCTTTTTATTCGTTGAGAGGAAAAAATATTTCCAACTAACAGGGCCGGGCAAAGGTCAGTTTCATTGTGTTTTTCATCACCAGGAAACTTACAATTGCAGTCAACAATATTAATAATTGTACACTGAAACGGCAACGAATGAACAAACTGTAACGATTACTAGAAAGGGGGAAAACGATATTAAAACCAATACAAAACATTTTCAGAAACAGTGTGATGGTTGGCAAAGAATGTTGCCATGTGGAACATTTTTAAATTTATGTATGCAATATTTGAGGAAACTTACTTTTTGGGGGTGAGTAAATCATTGCTGAAAAGCATTTCAAAACCTAATTTGATTATTTTGAATTTTACCCGTCTTTTTTTTCTGGGTTGGAGGGGGTGGTATGATGAAAAAAACAAACTTGTTTTTAAGGGGGGAAATCCTGAAAACGTGAAATTACAACTCTGATTCCAAAGTAAAACTCCGATTCCAAGTTAAAACCCTGATTCCAAGTTTCAACTTTGGAATCGTTTCCATTGAATTCTGAACTGAGTTGCCAATGCCTACTCCCAACATCAAAATGGTCCCTGGAGGTCTTGCGGTCCGAGTCTACACATCTGATTGCCCTTCTCTTGCTATTTCCACAATATCTTTTCATCGTCGTTCAAAAGATCTTTACCTGAAAGAAGCTGAGCTAGCAGTATGCTCATTCAACCACAAAATTGCCTTTGAAAAATCCCCAAAGGAAATTTGTTGGTAACTGGTGGCACAAAAAGGAACAAGAAAAACAACCAAATGCTCCCCAATGTTGTATGGACTGCCTGGATGTATTCAGCTTGCTCAAATACGAGGAGCTTTGGTTCAAACTGTTTCCTCGGGGATTAAACTTGGGCTTTCGATGGTATTACTGGGACTACCGTGTACTTTGTAGTCAGAGACGGTTCTCTCAATCAGTCCTTTTTCAAGTCAGAGATGGATTTTGTTGAAGGTTTTGAGCTGGTAGGGGTTAGTTTTAGACTTGTTTGAGTTTACTACAGGAATTCCTGACATTCAACGCTAATTACCCTATTTTCCATTGGTGGAGAGTTTAATTAATTACGTAAATCAAATTCTTTGGGCATTTTGCTTAGAACTTTTCTGAATCCTCTAGGGGGCCTATAGAATCTTCCACTGCATAGGAAACTTAATCCACACTCTTTACATTTAACTTGGAAAATCAAGCTGCATTTCGAAGTGTGTTGAACTTGTGGATAAAATGTACGGTTCTGAAGCCATAAAAACACTAATATCCAACGTTTGGGTTTTAGCTGGAAATTTGGAAAAACTATTGTTGAAAAATGCATTGTTGAAATCGACTCTGTATTATATTAAATAAAAACAGAACTTTAGCAGCTGTTCAAATTTGGTGAATATTTTGTGAGGGTGATTAATAAAATGTATAAAATTGCATACATTCAAGAGATCAATCATTCTCAGTTTTTTATTGAATGCAAAAGAACATGAGAACGATGAAATGAATTCCGATGAAATAGGCCTATATCAATATCTTCTCGACTTTTGTGCTGGACGATGCATCAAGAAGAAGAGAGGATAGGCCCACTGCTACCGGTAGTTTCAGTTTTACTTTTGATTCATGTGCGCACATCCAGCATGTCCAGTGAGTGCATTCTGACATCAATACAGTTTCCTTGTTTAAATTCCTTCATAAGGCCCCTATACAGAGCCAGGGAACGACCAGTGCATTGTTAAATATTTGGTGCTCAATGCACAAACATCTATGGAGATTTATGAAAATTTTCAAACAATAAATTCTCAGTTCAAACAAATACATATTTTCAGCATAAAATTATGATAATAATTTAGGGATAACTAGGAATATGGGAAAGATTTCCATACAAAGTTCACTCAACACCCTGTGTACAAACCCTATGAGATTGGACTGAAAAATTCTAAGTGTTTTCTAAGAAAATGCTTGTATTTTCTCACTGCTCAAATTGACTTTGATGACATGAAATTGCTATCTGGGGGGGGGGGGGGGGGGGGGGGCTTGTTAGTCAATACAGAGGAAAATTAGTGAACTTCGCATATGGTAATCTTGCCGGATGCGTCTAGATACCATGGGCGGTAATGAAAACCGAAAAATAAATTTTACCTGGCGAGTGGTGTAATCTAATAATATAAATTAATTTTTGTTTGTACAAAATTACAACACAATATTTTTTTAATTTGACTGCCAAACTTAAACAAAATGTAAATTCAAGAAACGCAATTCATGCTCTCAAAAACCTATTTATTTCAATACCCGTAGATGATAAATCATTCATTATTTTTTATTAAATTTCACATATGTGATATTCTTATTCCTCCATGATCAGATAAAATCTAATTTCATGTCCAGGTCTATTTACAGTTACCAGGAAATGATCAGAAAAAATAACCACAGCTAGTCTGGTACCTATTAATCACGGATCAACACTCATTAAAATTGCAAGGCAGTTGTCTGGTAACCAGACCTTCCCAACCCTTGAATTTTTTACAGCTGATCGCTGATAAAAATGTTGAAGAAAACTCACATATTTTGTAGCGTAACAGCATTTGGTAAACCGCTCGGAAACTCCGTCAGGTTTGCAGATCTGCACACGAAAAACGTCTCATTGCAAGTACATGTCTGTGGCAACGGTGCCGTGCAAGATTGCGAGCTGACATAGCTCAAAAGTAGAGAAAGCACCAGGTATTTCAGAGACGATTCTGCAAGGTGTACCTGCCAGGTTCGCGCCATGTTGCGAAAATCACGCGTCGCGTACAAAAATTGCACGCATTGAAACTATTGGCCGGAGCATATGTGTATTTAACATGTGTGGGTGTTTCTGTAAAACCCACATACGATCCGGGCAGTGATAAATCATCTCCCAAAAATTTTGCAAAATAATCACAAACGCTTGACATGAAAAAATTATATTATGATACCACTTAAAGTGCACTTTACATTGAAAATATAATGACATACAAACCAAATTTTGCAAACTAATTTTTTTGGCTGAAATGAATGAAAATAGGGCCTAATAAAATTAAATGCTTGCAAGAACCATGGAGGAAACCATCTTAATAAATAATTCATAGGTTCATTTTGAGCTCCCGTTTCAGTAAAATCTGTTCATGTTTTACAATTTTAAGCCTTCACAAATGCATCAGTGTATTTTTGGTGGACTATACAAGCAGACAAGTAAAATTAAATTTGGGGAACAAAAGTGTCTCCTGTAGCTGTCTGCACGAAACAGGAACAAGGTTTAAACCCCCTCTTTGATAAATGAACTCGACCAGAATGCCTTCCTTGACCTCATGTGCGAAATTATGCATGCAAATGAGCTTGGGGTCACGCCCCCGCTCTAATTCAGTGCTTATCCGAGAATTTACAAATCGGTATTTTCACGTCGGCAGAAGGCTGAATTTTTGGAGATTTTCCCACTTAGATTCAATACTTTTCCCGAGATAGGTGTGGTTTCCTTTGCAGCCATGTCTAGTCAAGTATTTTCAGGTGAGATTTTGCGATTTCATTTGACCATTTTTGCGTAAACAGTGATTTCATATGATGAAGAAAAAAAAAACACCGGAAAAGTCTCCCACCCGCCGGTTTGGTAAAATTTGCAACAATTGGTCTTCGCCGGTTTTGCGTGTGTTGATCTTTTTTTCCATCTCATCAACTGAACAAAATACTGTTGACAATCAGCTGAAATCATCATTACCAGTTTTCTGTATCAATGACATTTATTTTACTGTCATAAATTACAGGAAATTGGTTCGTTCAGTCTCGTAAAAATGCATTTCCTTGAGCCTTAAAAAATGACGCTTCATTTCATGGCCGTCAGCCATTTAAATTTTTCAAAACTGGAAACACTTGACCACAAAACACCCGTATATTTTCTCATTTACGCAGTTCCAGTTCCAACGAAGCGGCCCAAAAGAGAGTATAGAATATCGGTAAGTTCATTTTGGGATATTTGTCTGGTTTTATGAGTGGGATAAGTGAATATTTCGGGTCTCAAATTTCAGGCCCATATGGAATCCGTTACTTACCGTACAAATCGCAGAATGCGCGTTGTCGGTACCAAATTTCAAAACCCACCCTGCATACTCAAAACCTGGCGGGAATTTTCTGCTCAAATTTTCATTAGTTGGTAACTACCCCAGGGCGGACGTTTTGTGAAATTTTGACACAAATCCATCGAGTAGATGAGATTTTGTGGTGGATTTTGTGTCCGATTGAACTACGAATTTCAAGATGGCAGCCGCCGATATTTCAACGTATTCAATGGCACAGTTTGCTAAGTTGCGGCCGGCGGCCATAGGCCAAATTACGTTGAAAAAATTTAGCCCAACACGTTGAGTCAAGTTTTCTACATTGACGTTCGGTTCAGAATGAATGAAATCCAATTGAGTTGTTTCTTGCGTTCGTTAATACAACTTGTTATTTGTAAATTGTATTTACATGGTTTTTATTTGTAATTACAGTAATTTATTATTTAGTCACAGAAAAACATATGAAGCCGTTCATCTTTCTTTGCCCATTTCCGGACCAATGGTACAGCTGTGGTATTTCTTTTTCATAGATCATTGGTTGGCTCATTGTACGAACAGGTGTTTTTAGATTGGACATCTGAATAAAATCCATAGTGAGGGAAAATCAATCCCTAAAACAACACTTTAGCTTTAACAGGATGTGGGTTTAAGAAATAGATGACGGAAGGAACATCTTGTCCAAAAAAGACACCATTTAAAAAACAGTTTATATTTTACAATTGTCTGAGCTGCTTAAATAAAAAGCTAGTTTTGTCTAGAAATGTGTAATTAGATGTATGAAATAACGTAAGCAATGTGTGTAGAGAACACTATTGCACAGAATGGAATTTCATGTACATGTATTTCGAAAAGAAGTCAGTTGTTGACACTTCTTTTCATTATTAGCCCCATAATATTTTTATATTTAGTTCAAAATGCCTGTTGCTGAAAATGCATCACTCTAATAATCGTTCACAGTGGGAGAGCCAATGTCATGTTAGTAGAATTGAAGGCAGAAAAATAGTCAGAACGCTAGGCTTGTTTTCCTGTGTGGACATATAAAAAGGAACAAAATTTCATGCATACTTATCAGTGAATTCTGCTGCAGAAGTGAGTCTTGTCTTTATAATATGTGTAATTCTTAATATTAAGGTCTCTGCTTACAGAATCCTTAATCATTGAATTGTTTATATCTATAGCATGCAGCATCATGAATTAGAATTTGCCAGTATATGATAGACAACTTCATACAGGTATTGTCTCATAGTTATGTTAAGATGTTGGCAATGTCATGAACCTTCGCTTTTTGTTTGTGGATACCTGCTGGTACTTCAGCTGATTACCAGTTTTGTTGGGTACTAGCATTGGATTAGAACGTTGTCATCCTTTGGTCAACTGAAACTTGTGAATCATTTCTTGCGTTGTCCCTTTTCATGATGAAGGGGTGTTGTGTTTATTAGTCAGTCAGTGAAATCCTGGGCAAAAACCTGAGGCGACTTTCATGAGAGCTGCTAAGTACAGAATCCTGCTTAGCACACATCCACTAAGAGAGTTGCCTAGCGAAAACTGGTTACCAGCCAAAATCCTATGCAACATGTATATTGCTGTTGACTGGTACTCTTCGCAAAGCACACAAATTTGCTAAGCGCTAAATTTTCTGCTTAATAAATACCCCCGCAGGGTCACAAACTGAAAGTATAGGATTTAGTGTATGAGGGGTAATTGATGTTTTTTTTGCTTCAACATGTGCATCGGAACTGGGTACCCGAGTAACCGACTGTTAATGTCAGGAACTGGTTCCAGATTATGGTACCCGTAACCAACGTTACAAGTAAACTTCTCAGACATTGAAGAAGAAAAGGTCTTTGAGTGCCATTTTTGGGGAATTTTCAAAATGACAACCAGGCTACATGACAAAACCAAAACAGAATTTTTCATTTGCGCATTTTAAAGGTGCAGTCCTTTAGCCTGCACTGTACACACTTCTATCTTGTGCGTACTATATGAAAAATCTAAACAGTAACTTTCGGGATTTGAAGTTTGGGGATAGGTTTCTTGGTACGGGTATCTGGGTCCTACTTTGTGGACATCTGAGATTGCAAACTTTTCAATAGGTCAGTTTAATGATATGTCGTATAACATGCTAACCCCTGAATATACCCATTTCTGATAATTACAACAACTGCAAATGATGTACATTCCCTTTAACTCCCTAGCATGATTTACTAGGAACCATACCCATCCTGGCAAATTCCAACACCATATGGGAAAGTGTACACACATATTTCTGACTTTGATTCTGGAGGTGTGCCAACCCAATGTAAAAGACTGTCAGTTTAGGGGTACTGTACCCATCCTGACAGATTCCAACAATACATGCTGTTGGGGTTTGATGGGTTGAGTTCTGTTAGAGTTAATAGGGTACCCGGTTCCCGTAAATGCACACCACTACTTTAAGGTAGCCTTTTTTGCAAATAATTTTCTGTGCTGAAAAATAATAGCAAACATTTCTCTGCAAAGCTAGGAAAGAAATTCATTTAATGTTTTGGAATCACATTGTCATTGTTTCCATGAACAGTTAAAAAAAAACACCTTGGTTTTTGGATAGGAAATTTGTCACTTTGTGAAATTCTGCCTATGTGATGTGATAATACATGATAGAATCATGGATACTTAAATAAAGTCAGATCACTTAAAATTTAATTTTACTGTCCTACTTATTATGTATCAGCCTTGGTTCTTGATATATCAATATTCAGTAGCTAAGGTCTAGGTCATTAGCATAATTGGTTATGGATTCAGGCTGAAAGGGCTGTACCATTCATTTGGGTTGAGGAAAAAGGGGAGTTCACTTTTGATTTTCATGTAAACATTTTTATATTTGTTGCAAAATAATGCCCCTCACCTGAAAAGAAAACTCTTTTCAGATTTTTAGATATGGAATTCATAATGCACAAAAGGACAATGATTAAAAGTAGAGTAGATCTTTTGTCATTTGTGCATTTGTTTGGTTTGAAGGAACAAAAGTACTAAAACTCTAAAGACGGGTGCTTAACAACTAACCTCCTGAAGTTTTAAGCTCAGTCAATGCTGTATATTCCTAGAAACGATAATCTAGGATCTCGCTTTCAATTCAAAAGTTGCCGATTCGTGTTTTGAATTGCGCCCTCAGTCACCATCTGGAACATGTTCTCACTCAGCCGGTTGCATCTACGCGATGTCATGCACTGAACCAACAAATAATAGCAACTGCGTGCACCCATTCACGGATTCGCCCAGAATACAAACCAACTACCGGTACTCATAGAAATTTCCGAAAATGGGTCACTTGGCTCATCTTTGGAAATGACCTTCTTTTATTGTTTGCTTCAAAATGACATCATGCCAGAAGAAATAATTTCACAGGGAGTTTAGTGCCATTACTATCTTTCAATTCAACTAAGTAAGCTTTTTAATAATAATTTTGTCAGTTACTTTTTGGATAGCTGCAAATGATCTACTCTACCTTTAAGAGATTTTGACAGATGACATTTTCTGCTGTTCTTTTCAGCCATCGCCTAAAAAGAGGAAAACCATGACGGACTTCAATACTTTCTGTACCTGGGTGTTAGACTATGAGGCTTCGTTACAAGAAGAGGTTAGTATGTCATAGGTCAGACGTTATATATATGCAAATAAGTAATCTGTTCTATTCCTTCTGTCCCCCCCCCCCCCAAGTTAGTAATTTATTTATACTTTTTCTAATAGAAGTACTGAAATGAAAACACACTTGAAGATGAGTGATGGTTTTTCAGGAGTTTTGTTTGAAACATTTAAAAATAGCAGTTATTCCTGTTCTTGTGCAGAAGGATAAAAAGTTAAACAGAAGGATTTAGTTGAAACAAATCAATCATTTCAAAGACGTGGTACATGTTATTGAGGAATTAAGATTTACTGACACCCCTCAGCAAAAAATGGTCTTGCCCAGTGTGTCCTTTAAAGGTCCCCATTGTGGTTAGGTCATGTTTTCCTTTTCAGGCAATAAAATAGCATATGACATTGGAACAGACCACTGTGATGGAGGGGTGTACTCAGGAACTGTCAGAATAAAGCCCAGTGCACTTAACAGCTGTATCCAAATAGTTGTTAGTTGATCAAATACATTATATGTATTGGAGTCTTGGAGGTTCACATAACTGAATTGGATTGTTTCAAAATATTTGTTTAATCATTCATTGTTTTCATGCTTTTTGCAATGCAGTAGTGCCCTTAAAATCTGTGATTAATAAGAACGAAGGGCCCATTACATGAATTTTAATTGGGCTCATATTTTGTGCAACTTTCTAGATTTAATTATTTCCTCATACTACTACTAATAATAGTGGCATCTTAATAAGAGCAACAGTGCAGTGTCCAGAAAATATTCTCTAGAATGGGACCATATCACAGTATTGGTGAACCATGATGATCAGCGGTTCCTATTAAATCTGTCTCTTGGTGTAAAAATCATGATAGAATTCGCAGAAGAATAGGTCGATCAGAGTAAAAAATCGGAGCTGCACACTATAACTACTGTGCACTGTACAATTTTGTTCAGGGACACGTCAAGAAAAGAAGCCCTAGCCCCTTGGACAGTGAGGGGAACAGTACGTCTAGCAGTGACACCTCGGACATCATCCGCTACACACCCATCTCCCACGGCCACAAAGTCAAAGGGAAAGGTAAGACAGACATCTGCCAGATTGGATTACTTACTCCCTATCATTCATATAATTTATATGTACAAATGTACATGTATGTGTTGTGCTACTGGTCATATATGGATGAGACTCTATTCCTGGGGCCAATTTCTTAGAGCTGCTTAAGCACAAATGTTGCTTAAGCACAAAAAAACTTGCTTAATATAAAAGGATACTGACCAAACGTCACGTGATTTACATTGCTTGTGACTGGTATTTAGCTGTTGTTTACTTAGCATATAACAATTGCATGGAGTTTGGGCTGGTAAACTGACCGTATTAGGCAGAGTTTTTTGTGCATGCGCAAATGTTGTGCTTGAGCAGCTCTAAGAATTGGCCCCATATCATGACGTCTTAATAATAAATTCAATGAATTTGTCATAAATGTCAAGATGTTGTCTTTCTTTCATTATTACTGGTCGCTTATGAGGAGGGCAGTTGGATCATCCTATAATGCGAATGACTGGGCTTAATCCCGCCCATTTCGTAGACAACATGCATATGTCGAGACTTCCAGTGAATAACCATTCCGAATCAATCAATTACGGTTTTGCACTTTGCGACCAGGCTTTTCTAGCTTTGTACTTGTCATATATTGACTTTCTTTTCAATTTCCCAGATGAGGAGTGGGAACTAGTCACATGCTACTGTCTCAAACCCTTCGCCGGTCGGCCGATGATTGAATGCTCCGAGTGCAGTACCTGGATCCACTTATCCTGCGCCAAAATCCGCAAGAACAATGTTCCGGACGTTTTCACCTGCCAGCGTTGCAGGGACTCTAAGTTTGACATCCGACGATCAAACCGAGCGCGGGAACCCAAGAAACAGTTCAAAGAGTTGTACGAGGAGTTGTGAACCACAAACAAATAAACCTGTACAGCTGTATCAAAGTATATCAGAGTGTTCTGTACGAACCGTCCCACGTATGAAAAGGAACTCTGGTGAGTTGGAGATGTCGTCAGTCTGAACTCTTGATGCCCAGAGAACAGCAGTTAACAACTCTCCGTTCGTGAGTTTTGCAAGAGGATATGGACCAATTTTCGAAACTCCTTTTTTATGACGCAGTGCTGATCACCTTCCCATCATGCAAAGGGAACCTGAAATCGTGAGAGGAAGTTTCTTGATTTCTTACGAGTTACGCACAGATGCTGCATAGGAATGAATTGTATCATCCACATCAGTTGTGTCTCAGTTCATGTGCTAGTTTCTGTCTCCAAAAGTGGCCAGGATGCACTTAGAAAATTGTGGGCCAAGATATTTTTTGGACAACTCAGTCAACCAATCGGAACTCCAGGTATTTAGCCAATCAAGTGAGTGCTGTGAGCCACATCGCAATTCGCCAGATAATACTCATCAAACTCGACATATCTGATCGCTGCTTGGTTTGTATCTGCACTGAACGCAACAGCATGAGGGCGCTGTTTCTTCATTCCTGCTTGATTGGTTTGGAGATGAAGATATTGAAGATGAAACCAAGGTTTAGAGAACGTTCCTTGAGTCAAAATCTCGAGTCGCCAGACTACAGCTCGGCCAAGTAATAGTGGCGTGCCAGTCAATCCCACAATGCAATAGGAAAGGAACCCTGTGCTGCATGGTTTGTGTGAAACCAAGAACATGTATAAGAAAACTGGGAAAGACTGTAGTATCCAGACGCCACTTCTTTGGTTGTGTACAAAGTCTATGCAGAGTCGAGTGCATTTTCAAAGTATTTTCTAACAAAATTGGAAATGTGTCTTAGTCCCAGATTCATGTCTTTGCAACATTTATGCACTGACTGATCTTCATTGGGATATGAAGAAAAGTGGCGTTAGGGATGCAACATTTTTTCCGAAAACTGATATTAGTGGATATTTCTGAAGCCACATATTGGACAGTTTCTGTAGCTACTTGTGACGATTTCCAGTGATTACAATACTGGGTGAGTCAAAAAAAAATGAAACCCAAACGTCGGGACCATTTTTTTTCAGTGAAGTTCTGCATGTAGCACTTTCAAAATCTAGCATATGAAAGCCCAATTCATAAGCTTTCTTTTAGTACAAGAATCATTCAAATCACTGATGCCCTTTTCACGTTACGGAATTTTAAACACAAACACCGTTTTAAACTTCTGTCCACGGATCACAAAAAAGGTAAGTGTTCTTTCAGCAAAACGAAAACAATTGACACACATCCCTATGTGATTTGTTTTCATTTTGCTGAAAGAACAATTACCTTTTTGTGGTCCATGGACAGAACTTCTAACAGTGTTTGTGTTTAAAATTCCGTAACTTGAAAAGTACATGAGTGATTTGAATGATTTTTGTACTAGAAGAAAGCTTATGAATTGGGCTTTCATATCCTAGATTTTGAAAGTGCTACATATATATGCAGAACTTTTTTTTTTTTTTTAACTCGCCCTGTATAGACAAATCCAAGCACGTCATCACTGTACACTCACGTGGCCCCCTTCAAAGTAACAGCTAGCACAATGCTTTCGCCATTGAAGGGGGCCTGTGTGGTAGAAGTGATTGTGTGCCCCGATTGGTCTATGCATGTACTCTCCTCATATTTTTCACAATTGTTAAGACATTTAATCGTTAACCCTAACCGCCCTGAATACTTCAAAATCTTCTTTGCCAAAGTGGAGGAATTTGGAGGATTGAGGTTACATGGCAAAAGTGCGTTACTGATTTCTTAAGATGCACTTTGTCCAGGTCTTGGGCCGGACTTTGTGTTGTTTTTGCTCAGCCATGCATAAATATAGGCCTGGATTATGCTTGAAATCCTCCATACTGCTCCAGGATGTCACTGGCCAAGCCTCAATATATTGACAGTCACTATACTGCTGCAGTATTTTGCAGGATTCAGGCAGTGGTCACCCCTCCATGGACCATATTCAAGAAATAATGGAGGAATTTGCAGGATTGAGGCTACATCCTAGCAAAAAAGGCTTAGAGAGTTAGAGTGTTAAAGCAAGTAATTGCCAAATGACATGGTATACGTTTCGGAAAGATTTCCATATAAGAAGTTCACTAATTTTCCTCTGTATTGACTAACAAGCCCCCAGATAGCAATTTCATGTCATCAAAGTCAATTTGAGCAGTGAGAAAATACAAGCATTTTCTTAGAAAACACTTAGAATTTTTCAGTCCAATCTCATAGGGTTTGTACACAGGGTGTTGAGTGAACTTCGTATATGGAAATCTTTCCTACGTTTCACTGCTGATCAAACTTGGCAAATTAACACATTATTTTTTTGTGTCAGAAAGTCAGATATTTTGGGGATATTTGTTGGGACAAGCGTCCAATCCAGGTCAGTTATGTACATGTAGTGTTAACAGTATTCTTTCGTGAGCTTACTTTTTCAGGCGCATTTGTACAGGTGAATCACTGAATATTCATGATCTGATACCCACAATTCATTGTGTTACCATAGAGCAAGGCAATGCCTCTTCCCATGATGCAATGCAAAAGTGGTTGCCATGGCAGCGATGTGGCACAACTTGGAAAAATTAATGAAAATTTGAATTTTGCACAAATGGGATGAAAACGAATGTTGGACAAGAATGTAATTTGCCAAAAAGGACAACAAAAGGGAAGATGCAGATTGAAGTATTATAAATGAAAAAAATAAAATGTAAATAAATGTATGTTGTTAAAAGAAAGGTTCTATAAAACACTGCCATGACTATTTGTGTTTTTTATGTACATTCAAATATTGTAAATGGTGGTCTTCTTTCGGGTATTCAATCAGAAGAGAAATAGTTAGAAACAAATGTAGATATTCGTCATTGCAAATGTAACCTACCAACTTTTTTTTTTAAATCAATGAGCCAAAGTATTTAGAATATTTTGCTACAAAATTACAATAGTAAAATCATTGGGCATTACATATTTTGCAGAGAAACAGGTATCTAGAAGCTTGTATTTTTAATATAATATCCCCGCGCTGGATAACAGTCCTTTTGTTTTTATCCATTTTTAGGCCAAATACAGTGTTAAACATTTTTGCAAAGGCACTTTCTGCTTTCCCCTTAAAAACTTGACTTCACTATTGTTGCAGAATAGAAACTTGATCGTGCACAATTTTTTTTTTCAGGCCAATATTAGAAGACTCTTTTTCATTATTTTTTTGTGTTGTGTGAGTGTTTTGTAATTTGTGTTCGTTTTTCGTGTGTTTCATGCAAATTTTAATTTATTCTTTATCAAAGTAGAAATATTTTTTTTTACATTGATGAGAGCCTTAGTTTCTGGAGCTGTGTCACTTTGCAGATTTTTCGCTGATATTATAGTGATGAACTACTTCATTGTATGAACTAAATCATGTATAATAAGAGCAAAATTTGTGTTGATAATTTAAATTTCTTTTAGTTTGTGATTACCAAATCTTGAAACATAATATGGTGTAAACTTCAATCTTGATGTAAATTCAATTTGTCTTTTTTTTGGTAAAATATCTGTTATTTATTATTGCTGGAATGTTTTCCTTTTGTTTTGGTTTTATTACTAACGGAGTGTGTTACAGCTTGTAGGGCTGTCCCGAATATACTGAATATTCAATCATCCACTGAATATTCAATCATCCACTGAATATTCAATCATCCACTGAATATTCAATCATCAACTGAATATTCAATCATCCACTGAATATTCAAATAGCTTCTTGCCTGTTTGAATATTCAAAACGAAACAACTATGCACGTGCGCACACGACTGTGATGTTATTTCAATCGTAATGTTGCGTTTTTTGTTGTCAGATGCTACTTTTGTGTTGAGGGTAACTGTTTTGTGAATTGTCGACGACTATTTATTGGTCCGAATCTTTTAACTGGGTGAAGTCTCTTGACAGTTATACAGTAATTATTGCAAAACACTACAGTGGCCCATAATATCCATCGCAGCATTCAAATTTTTACCAGCGCGCTTTGTATGCAATGTTTGACCAGCGAGGAAGACAGCTGCAGCTGGCGTGTGTAAAACTTGATCAGCGAGTTTCAAATATTCGAATATTCGGTCAAGTGCAGTTTCGAATAACCAAATACTAAATTATTCGAAACTGGACAGCCCTAACAGCTTGTATATCTATGTAAAACTTACAACTGAAATGATTTTGAGTTTTTCTATAAAATAAGTAGGGTAAATCTAAGGTTGCACAGGAGTGGTGTTTTTATTTGCAGCACACATCGTCAATGAATCATGATTGTTCAGCTAGTTTGATGTTTATTCATAAGAAAATAACAATGACGTCACACCATTGCTATCACTCAGCCATGCATGTACATTAAAGCATTTCAAAGAACGGCTTTCGTTGAGCTGCCACAGTGGCCTAGTGGCTAGTGGAGTGAACTATGGATCGCCCATGCTCGTTTTCATCAAATTTTTTTGTTGGTTGGGATAAGTTTAATTGAAGGGAAACACTACGAGAACCTAAGTGTCTTTCATCCACACAGAGTGATAAATATTCATGTTAGGGTGCGTGATGTGATTGGTTAAAATACGATGTATGCTGCAAAAAAAAAAAAAAATGCGTGCACACTGGAATGAAGATATTTACACTTAAGTAGTGATCGAGGGTAGTATTAGTGACATTTTTCAAATATAGACCAATCAAGCCATGCTATTAATTCTATCATGGTGGCCTCCTTCAATGGTGAAAGCTTTGTGCTAGCTATTGTTCAGATAATGTGTCATGGGGCAGCTGCTTTGTACAATAGCTAGCACAATGGTTTCTCCATTGAAGGGGGCCCCCATGAGTCTTCAGTAATCACCTGCCCAGATTTGTCCATAAGTTTACCATACAGTATACTATATGCGTGGGACACCTCAGTTATGGCTGCAACATTGCGGTAGCCAGTGTTCAACTTAACCACCTCTTTGTTACATCTTAAAATTGAGGCGTCCCACACGAGTGCTAATTTGGGGGTAATGTGACTCTGATTCGCATTAACTCCCAAATTTGTAACAAAATTGTCCATCACTGTTTACTCTCAGGCCTTTCGATTACTACATGTACTACCCTCTGTATTTTGGTCTGTTTTTCTTCAAAACATCTGAGGCTAGTTGTGGGTTGTTCTTTGTTGGATAGGCTGACAGATCTCGGACCAAATGTATCACGAAACAATGGCACCAGAGAATAGCGGGATTATGTGGGGGTTTCTTTAGACAGGGAGGGGGGAGGGGGTAAGACGTTTACTCGCTGTAATAGAGGGTCACAACCATAGAGCTATAGTAATTTAATATAGCTCTATGGTCACAACTTATAATAAACTGGCTTCTTACAATAAATATTGCAAATGCTAACTATGGAATCAAAAGATACAATATAAACTCCTAAAAGTGTTTTTCCCTCCAGACTTTTTGAATTTAAAAGATGAGTTTGAAGATTGTGGAAAACTCGTAATGGGGAAATTTGTGACTTTACATCTAACTTCAGCACCCCTCTCAATTTTTGTTTCAAACAACAACTAAATTTCATCCCATTTTTGTTTTACATTTAAACCACTGGAATTCCTTGATTTAAAAAAGTCAGTATTATTGTACAATCATAAATATTTCCCCCTTTTTGAAGAAATACAGTGATTGTTAAACCTGGCAGGTTGCCAAAGCTTATTTATTAAAAAAATGTACAGTTTGTCAATTTACATAATGGAGTTTTTAGTTTTTTCCTTGTCGAATTGTCAGTTGTTTTAAGTAACCCCACAAATTGCTATTGTAAAATTAATTATCAGTCTGTCCTGCATATAACTGCATATAATCTGACAGCAAAATCTGAAAAAGGGAAAATTAAATAAGTCCGCAAAACAGATGCAAAATAGAAGATATTTATAAAGAGAATAGACCTACTGTGATTATTCGATTAATTGATAAATCGTTTGTTGCTTATTTCGATTCTCGGTGCAACTAATCGATAACCACTTTTTGAAAATGGAGGTTTCTGAGGCGTAAGAGCACGTGTCGAAAAAACGCGGTGAATTTGTTTTTGTAATCCACCAGGGAACTACACATGTTTTTCAAAAGGAAGTGGGACGAATTCAAAAAGGGAGATACTTCGTGAAAATAATGTCAACACCATTATTCTGAAAAGGTGAGTGAAATTTTGGTTATTGAAACATCGTTGTCGACATCGTTAACACTTGTACTTTCCAATCGATAGGCTAATGCGTGGTCGTGTAGTTTAGGACACCTCCATTTTTTTTTTTTTACAAATTCCGTTCAAAATGACTTTTGCAAATGAGTACGGTCAATTCCAACATGACTTTTGCAGCCTCAAGCAGTCTGTTTTTCTCAAGAGCAACTCATGTTTTTTGTGTGTAATTATTAAGTACTTTTGAAAAAAATGTGACTTTCTTAGGCGTTTTTTTTAGCACTCAGACTCAGAGACGTGTGTTTTGGAGAAGTTTCCACCATTACGTCTTAGTCACTGTTTTACCCCATAATTTCCCTCGTAATCAAAACTTTATCTGCCCTCTTTCCTAAAAATTAAGCTAGCTTAGCGAACTATTTAGATGATTCCAAAACTATAAGGTGACTTTTCTGCTTGTATCTTAGCCAAATGTTTAGCTAAAACTCTAAACATAAAAATGTGTTTTCGTTATGTAGTATGGGGAACGGGGCCCTAACTCCTAATAATATACACGACTACTCCAATCTGTAAGGTTAAAAACGCGATGGTTGAAAAAAAAATACTTCTTTTCCGGAACAATTGCACATCTCAAAGACGGATTTCTAGCTTCAGTTCTTTATAGTTTTTGAGTGAATCTTAAGAACACACGAGTCTGATTTTGACGAAAGAAAACTTTTTTTGGCGGTCCGGCGGCGCGGTACGAGTGTTTGATATAAAACGCTACGCCGGGTATCCAAAGAATACTCGGGCGTTTTGATCAACCAACATTTGAACCCACAAAGGGAGAGAGAGTACCAAGCATGAAAATTACCCCGAAGAGAAATTTGCACCCCTTTTTTCTTCAATTACAGAAAATAAACAATTGAGATAAAAAAAAATCCAAAGACTCGTCCCGGTCATCGTATTGTTTAGGACCTAACGAAAAGACAATGTTATATTTTGGGACTTAATACCTTAACATTTGGATATGATACAAGCAGGAAAAGTCACTTTATATGTTTGGAATCGTCTATTACTAACCGTATTGAATATCAGCTAGCTTAATTTTGTGGAAAGAGGGCAGGGTCTTATTTCTGAACGGAGCTTGTAAAAAACACTGGTGTCCTAAACTACATGACAACCCCATTTTCTATATTTAAATTAACGAGGAATGTAACACCACAAACTGAATGAATACAAAACAAATATCCATTTTGGTAAGTGCCCTTTTAAGGCCAAGACTTTATTAACAATGGCACTGCTTTGGCGGTGCTTCCATATTATTTATATATTACTACACAAATGATACACAACATTACAATGACAATTCGCCTTTCATCTTTCGAATTCCACGCCCACCTTTTGATCATGTCTCTTCTGGATCTTAAATGATATATTTTTGGATAATTGTATTCCTTATTTGTGATAGGATCTTAAGTTGTACATTGTTTTACCAAAACAAAAATATAACACACAGATTGATTGCAAATCCTAAATGTTTTGAGTAAATGTTCGAATCGCCGAGGATTTTGTTTGACGTTGTTGGATTCTATAGGGCCAAGTACATTTTTGAAAATATCTGTACAATAACGTTCCATATTTAGGCCCCAAACTGTTTGGTACCTGTAGGCATTAGTCACAGATGGTGTAGTACACGAATCCAGGCACCTGACTATAATGACAGAAAAGCTCAGTCATGCCCGCAGCATTGGGACAGCCATTGTTAAAAAAACAAACAAAAAAACAAACAAAAATTGTTAAAGAAAATACTGGCACAAATCATGAAAATTCATTCTCAAGCAACTACAAATCTGTATTTGGAATTCATAGCACTTTTCCTAATCTCAGTTTTCGAAATTCGTTTAATTTGCAGATGTAATCCTAATTCCTTCGGAAGTCCATTCACAGTCCCAAAAAATGACACAAATATTATACAGGTTTTAAAAAGGTTTAATCAGGAACATGATTGGTTGAGTGTTACCATGTGACTTGATATGAAGGTTGTGATTGGTTATGGTCTTGATGCTCTTTCTCAGCACCTCTGAATTCAAAACCTTGAAACTGTACAGGTTAAAGGAATAAGAACTATAATTTGTGTGGATTTTCAAAATATGATTACATTTTCAAAATGTGAATAAATCATTCTGTTGCATGTTTCTGTCCAAATAAATTATTCAGAACACGCCTCTCTACCGAAATGTGATTGGTCATTATGGCTGACCTGATTAGCATCTAATGAATATGTAAATGAGCAAAGCCATTAGAAAGCACAGGATAAATTTTTTACAAATTTCTTGATGTATTTTTAAAAAAAAGATGGTTGATGGCTTAAATATCTCACCTGAAATAAATTTATGGTCTTAAGAACTGATTAATTTTCTACAAAGTGAATCAGTCTGTTTAACAGAGGATATGCATCATGCAAATATATTAAATTGTGAGTCAAATTAATAAATATAAATATGGCTTGTGAATATAGCTTAGCCGACGGGGAAACAAGTGACAAAGTCCTGGACTAGAATTTCAAACAAAATTATTTTACAATTTTTAGTAAAATTTCATAAATAACCAACAAGCATCAACATTATGTACTAACAAAGGCATTTTGAAACCGTTACCTCAGGTTAATAAGGCATAGATTTCAAGGCAAAACTCAAAACCACAGTGAATTATAATTTTTGATGATAACCATAATTCTAAACATGAGCGGATGGTTGCAATTATTGACTGCCAATGCTATTGACCAAGTTCAAACAACAGAGGGCGCATCAAATTTAACATTTAACAACAGAATTCAATATTTAACAACATTTAAACAAAGAAGGAAAAAAGGTGTAAAAGTGGGCAAACTATTGCAGTCAAAAGAAATAAAAACAATTACAAAATGAAACTTAAACTTCAGTAGTATGACAAAATGACAAACAGTTTTGTACAGATGCTGGAAGATGGTAGCAAAATAATGGGTAGACATTGCTTGGCACAAAACAAAAGAAATATTCTTTAAAAAAAACTCACGTCGATCCTTTCATCACTTAAAGGCACTCTTTCTGTTTTCTCGCTTGATAATTGCAAAAAAATGAAATAGTTTTTTAAAAACTTTTGCCAAGCACAGAAAATACCTGCTTAGCAACAAAAAGTTACCATGACAACTGTCGTATAATTTGTATTGCTTACTGATTGGTTCTTAGCATCATGATTTGTGCTTAGCAAGCGAAATTAATTACCCTGTATGCAAAATAATTTGGGACACCAACGAAAACTCAGAAATATCAGCATGTAGTACGTAAGAAGACTTTTTAAGCTTACTTATAGAGAAGTCTATTGCCATGCATTCTTCAAACAAAATTTATTGACTGTTTTGCCACTTTGAATAATTTCTCTCAAAATTAGTCTCAATTAAAAAGTTGAACGAAGAAATTGACCAGAGTGGGGTTTGAACCTGCGACCTCCGGATAACCGTTCCGGTGCTCTACCAACTGAGCTATCCAGCCCTTTTGGTGGTTCCCCATTTGTGTCAATGTCTTAGTTTAAGGCAAGGGCGCTAGTCAGAAGCCGTAAACCAGTGTGCCATACAGCCAGGGATCACGCCCAACATCGCGATACACTTCTGACTAGCGCCCCTTGAACAGCGATATTGACTAATTGGGGAACCGCCAACATTGGGCTGGATAGCTCAGTTGGTAGAGCACCGGAAGGGTTATCCGGAGGTCGCAGGTTCAAGCCCCGCTCCAGTCAATATCTTTGTTCAACTTTTCAATTGTTATAATTCACCTAGTCAGTTTTCCTGTGGTTCATTTGAAAATTAGTCTCATTTAGGCCAAAAAAAATGAAACAGTTTTTTTTTCAATGAAAGATGATGTCTCAAAACCGCCAAACTCACTGGTTTGACTGGAATCCTGCTGCTGCACAATTTTAACGTGTTTTTAGATGGGGTTATGATCGAGAATAAGCTTTATGTGGCCTCTCTGGACTCCCATATATTTGCACTAAGTTTAGTCGGGCACCATTTGCAGTCATCAGCCGACCATTTGAAGCAAAAAAAGTCAGGTAAAAAATAAAAATAAAAGCCACGTCGCCGCACCACTTTTTGGGCAAGCTCCATACCAGAAACAGGAGACTTTTTTTTGTTGGCCTTAGATGTTGACCCATACTGGCACCTCCACCAGCGCACCTATTGACAAATATTTACAGTGTACGCAGGGAATGTGAAGGTCTCCCCCCTTTGTATTGCATTTACCCCACACAGCAAGAAGTGACAACTTAAGACCTCACAAAACCAAAACAAGATTATATTTATGACCTTGGTTAGATTTGCCAATACATACTTATGTTGTGGTAAAAAAAATAAACAATCGTAATACGTATTTCGTCAGGTGCCCGGTAGAAGGGCATGTGAGCGTTCTGACGCGAAAATCACTTTCAAGAAAATTGCATTGAAAGGTTCCAATGTAAGCGTATTATGAACCAATGTTCTCCCACGTGTATCATAAATTGTACAAATTTTACATTTGTCACACGTCGAAATCATAATTTTTGGATCAACTTGTGTTAATTTCCAACGAAACTGTTTAAATTTCCCTAAAATAGAGGCAGTTTCCTGCATATGCCCTTTTGCTGGGAACATTTTGGTGATTACGCGTTCCCCGCATAAGGGTGTATGGGCATATGTCTTTCTGCCAGGCACACAACAATTTATGTTGTGATAAAAAATATAAACAATAGTGGTCATATATGAATAATCATACCATTAGAATTTCAAAAAACTACTGACCAATCAGTTACTAGGTATTTCCTAGTACATGAAGCGTCAATATGTTGATTATGAAATTCAGGTGACATGCTTACATTTTGGGTTGATAGTGTTTGGGAAGCAGACACTTTATACACTGGGACTAAGGAAATAATGAAATGGCCTTAAATTCACAAAATTTAAACAAAATGCAATTGACGCTGAGATGTTCGGGCAAATGAGACAGAACTGGGCAGAGGTCAAAATGAACGTTTGCGGAAAGACAATCAAATTCTCTTTACAATACTGTTTGTTGCACTTCCATAGGACGTTCCATTGATAAGTTATGGCTGTTTAAAGTTTGCGTTTATCGACATGTCAAAAAAGTAAAATACTGACAAAAAGGCCATTAAAATTTGGATTTTGTATTCATCATGATGAAAGCTGCCAGTTGTTTTTCCTTAAAAACACTTTTATTTCACATATTTTATTCTACATCTTCGTGTACTAGACATATCAAAGATTACAAAATGTGAATAAATCTGAAAATTGCAAAAACTCATCCCCACTCAGTTTTTTGCATTTTTCTCCACTACGCACTGTGCCCAGTTCGATCTCATTTTGCACATCATATCAGGCAGGTGCTATTTCAAGCTGGTATATACATGTATCAGCATCATATGCGCAGTGAGTTGAGGTACCAGACCAATTTTCTTTGCATGGTATTACATAGGATTGGTACCTGATAAAGTAGTCCTTTGACTAATCTTGCAGTGATATAAGCATCCAAGAACATTCGCTGAGCCATATTCTCGCTTACTGACTGGTTACCAGCCCAACCATCACATATTACATATGCTTTTCTTGGCTGGTATTGCTTCACTCGGTCGCAACATGCTAAGCTAATTTGCTTAGTTGCTTTCCTGGAAAAAAAAAAAAAAAAAAAAGTTCCGATATAGAATCGCATACACCTGTTACACGGAGACAGTATACCTCTCACAGGTAAGGCAAGTTTTCTGCAATGAGACGACTTCTGGCAGTTCTGGCAAACTTTATCGTGATTTCCTCCTCAAAAGATGCGAGGTCGTTAAATTCCAAGCATATCGTCAGTCGGCACAGCTTATACAGTAGCTCCAGACATCAATCCAGGCTGGTTATCGTTGAAGGAAAGGACAGCTATACTAACTATAGGAAGCACTCCTCACAATATCGTGCAGGACCTTTCCTGTTAGAAAAAAAAAAATCAGTCCAAAAATTGTAAAATATTTAAGGGAAAAACTCCTGAAGTTACAAAAATAGTCCTGAGACACAACATCTTGGTTTGTTTCTTACAGGAACCTGGGGAACGCAGGGGGGCATTTTGGCTGACTCAACCAATAACCAATAACAAGTGATTCGCTGATCATATGTATCGCCTTTCTCCGTGGTCGATCCCTATATATTTTGTGTTCTTCAAAAAAGTCAAATTGTGTGCATTTTTAAACGACGACCTCAAATGACCCCTAGATGACCTTTGACCTCCAATTTTGGAAGACTTGTGATGAACCTCACCTAAGGATCACTCCATCCAAGTTACATTAAAATCCATCAAATTCTGCAGACAGAGAAACATTTGAAGCATATTTGAACAATGACCTTCAATGACCCCTACATGACCTTTGACCCTGATGAAGAATTGTGTCTTCCAACCCAAGGGTCACTGCATCCAAGTTTCATCGAAATCCATGGAAGCATGTAGAAGTTAGACAATTTTTGTTTCAAAAACTGAACCGAAACTTTAATATACATACGGTCATACAGAATTTAAGACTGGTTAAGTGTCTGCCAAAACTTTGTTTAGATGACACAATAATGCTTAATATTTGGCCTTTTCTTGAGCAGATCCACTCATGAATATGCAAATCCTTACCTTATGACTGTTATTAGACTGTGCAGGGGCTGGTTGGGGATGGGCGGCGGCCTGAGCACCTTGGGGCGGGGCTTGTTGCTGAGCCTGTTGATCTTCTTGGGCGAGGTCCTGGGCAAGTCTGAGGTCTTCCTGTTCCTGGAGTTGTAACGCCAGCTCATGACTAAAAAGGTAAACAGAACGTCAACAATTTAGAAAGCAGGAGGTCGTCGGTTCGAGTCCCACCCGAGTGATTTTTTTCCAACTTTCGCTCGGGAGGTAACACGCTGAGTATACAGTGTTTTTGTCAGTAAGTGGCAGAACCTAATATTGATTTACATCACCCCGACACAAGTTCATCTTATGAATAGTTTAAAATTTAAACTGTACTGTGGCTCCTGATGTTTAGTGGGGGGGCTGTGGTCCAATGGTTACGGTGTTTGAATTGTGTGCCTTGGTACATGGGTTCGAATTCTGACAGTGGGAACATGGGGCTTATGCTCTTGAGCAAGGTGCTTTACCATTATTGCTTGTCCTTCGGATGGGACGTAAAGCCGTAATGCACGTTAAAGAAGCCAGTAACATTGTCACTAAGAGAAGGGGTTTGCCCCGGTGTATCTGGCAGTGGCTGCAATATGCGCCACAGCACCTTGTATACCCTTTATAAAGGTGCTACATAGTGGGTCTCCTATTTCTCATAAACTTCACTTACCCGTCTCTAAAAATAGACATAATTTCCAGCGCCTTGAGTACCTAACTGTTGGTAGATACGTGTGCTATATAAGACTCCGGTATTATTATTATTATTATTTCTACCAAATGTGACTTGCAGATGTCTTGGACTTACTCTGAGAGTGCGGCCATGGCTTTAGAGTGCGTATCTTGTTCCTGTATCTGACTGAGTCCAGTAGCCTGGGATAAGTCTTCCTGCTGCTGGTCCTCCTGAAGAGACAGCGCTACCAGGTAACTGAAACCAAACACAGGGCAACAAAGAAGAGTAAGTTTTTGTTCAATATGTCGAGTGCTATTGTCTAGAGCATCAATCTAAACATCTGTGGGTATTCTGCAGATTGTGGGTTCGAGTCCAGCCTGGGGTTGTGGTGTGTGTGCCCTTGGGCAAGGCACTTTCTCACTCATTGCTTCTCCCCACCCAGGAGTAAATGGGTACCTGTGAGGGCAGAGATGGTTATTGTGATTGATTTTTGCTGCTTAGTGCCGAAATGACAGCATGGAGCTGTATGGGGTCCGGGCACAAGTACCCCCTCAACGGTAAGAAAGGGAGAGTTGGGAGAGACCAGTTGGGGAGACCACTTAGGCTGATATTTGAACGCATTACCGACGATGCCTGATGCTTACGCAAAGACGCGTCAACCAGTAGGCGCACACAGTGTGCCCCGTCCACGGGACTCTCGGTGTTAAATAAGTGCCATGTTTTGCTGGGGCACGGAGCCCATACTCTACAGAGAGCTGAGATGGTCTTGGAAGGTATTATGGGCCTGATGAACGGGGGTAATATGGATGTAGCGTTTTCCTTCTCAACTCACTCTGCATCAAGCTGTTGTCCTGGCGACATATTTGCAGCAACCACCGGTGCCATCTGATTGGTTGGTGGCCGAGCGTTGAATTCACCGTCGACGAATCTACTGTCTCCCTCAACGCTACTCAGCGTCTCCCAGACAATACTGCTCTCTGTCAGAAAACCCTGATCCGTCACTAGTACGCACAATTCCTTCTGAAATTAAAAAAGAAAAAGACAAAAAACAGATTTAATTTAGCACTGCAGCACCCTTTGAAGCTCCATGCCATTAGGCCCAGATGCATGCCAATGGTCACATGGTAAAGCATCTGCACATGCTTAATAAGTCGTTGGTTCGAGTCTCACTGAGTAAGCTTGTGAATTTTTCTCACAAGCCCTCACATAAAATACTTAGTAGCCCGCAAAGGCAAAATCAAGTACTGAATTTATTTACTTCCTCTCGCAAAATTCCATCTCTTAAAAAAGGGTTTCCACTTACATCGTGCTTGATTAACGTGCTGAAGTGGTTGTTTCTGAAGAATACACAAAGCTCGCCTTCCTCCGTGGCAGAGTTCAGCTCACAGAGTCCGTAGAACGTCAACTGGGCTGCCGTGCTCTCCAAGAACTGCTCTGCTACCAGACCTAGAAAACAAGAGAGGTCAGTTTGCTACATTCACAGATTTTCAATTGACTGTAACAGCTCCAATTTTTAAACCTTAACTCCTCGGCATTTTTGCTGAGAATCTTTCTAAATCCTCCATAATCCTCCTGTGTACCCAAACCCAGGGTTGAAACCAAGTCAAGTAAATTTGTTTGTCAAGTCAAGTCGCAAGTCAGTTTTTTCCAAGTCAAGTCACAAGTCTTAAATCCATTTTACAAGTCTGTCGGAACATTTTTTTGAAATATTTTTGAAATATCTGGGATGGTTACCAGATTATCATCGGCAAAATGCTTATGGTGGCCCCCAGGTATGGCGGACGCACTGTGCCATGCGCTTTTGGAAACCAAACTGGCTTATAGATAAACAACTAGTTAAGACGCAATCCTACCTTGATGCTGTTCATCCTCGTCTTTGGAGCTCTTGCTAGCGATGATCTTCTCCACCACCTGGTTGTAGCTGTACGTCCCTACTGCCGAGACGATCTCATCATTCTGGGGGTCGTACAGCCACCCGTGGCACAGAGAGATGTTCAGTAGATCAAAGACGACACACTCTTGGGTGTACTCAAAATCTTTGACCCTGTGCAAAGACAAGAAAATTGAACAAACTTAGGCTGGATCACAATAAAAACAAGGATTCCAACTTTTAAAAAAATTTCAAAAATACTTAAAACCTGGCTTGAAGGGAATTTGTGGGTTTTGATGAAAGATATGGATACAACAGGCGGGCGCTGTTACGTTTGGATGGACTTATTGGTATTAACCCTACCCCCTAGGCCCTTTTGGCTAGGAAACATCCTCAATCCTGCAAAAACCTCCAATTGCCACCATGTAAAAATTGGATTCAGCCTCAGTCCTCCCAAATGATTCATTGCACAGTCTTTCGTGGGTTCAAGACTAAATCTCCCACATCAAAGTTGTTGCTTACCCTGTGAATTTGACGTTGACGTCTAGACCCGTTGACAGCTTGGTGATTATTTCCATGGCATCGTGGATGTTCTGCTCGTAGTTTCGCTGGACTCCCTCCGAGGCATTCTGGGGTAAGAAACAGACAAAAGGTGAGTCAGTTGACAACATTATGAATGGACGTTGGCTTTCCTCCATTTTTATGCCTTAGGAAAATTGCTTCTTTTGAAAGGTATCTCTTAACATTTCAAAATCCAACATGTAGATTTTGCCCGAAATGACAAATGTACAACCCAGTTCTTTAGAGGCAGATACAATGGAAGACTTTTGAGACATTGGTGGCAGCAAACATATCGGTCCTTTTTCCATTGTTTGCGTCACATTGAGCATGCGCGCTTTAGCTTAAACATGACGTAAACAATTGAAAAGGATCGGTGTGTTTGCTGCCACCAACGTCTCAAAAGTCTCCCATTGTTTCTTTACAACATGTATATATTAGTAGTAATACAACAACCACATTATGATAAAAACTGTGTGAGTTATTCTTTTATTTTGCCAGAATGGCTGCCCACAGTTTCACTGTAAAGAGCGCCACCATTAGTTAGAACTTTTTTTAATGCACACCAGCCATGCGTCAGCAGCACCCTCCTGATTCGCATGTCCATTTTGTACATTTGTAAAGACACATAGCACATTCGCAGTTGATTTGTTTGTAACAATACTAGTGCTGCATGTTTATGAACAATACTGGGCCCAATTTCACGGCACTGCTAAGCACAAAAATTTGCTTAGCAGAAAAAAAGTGTGGCTTATAAAAGCAGGTTACCAGCCAAAACTCCATGTGATTTTCGTGCCAAGCAAACAACAGTTGAATACTAATCATGAGCAATATACATTACACGGAGTTTTGGCTGGTAACCTGCTTTTATAAACCAAACTTTTTGTGCTAAGCAAATTTTTGTGGTTAGCAACACCATGAAATTGGACCCAGGTTGGGGGAAAAAAACTACAGATGTCACAAAAGTAAGGTCTATAGACCATTATCATGTTGCGGCCATCTTGATTTCTCTTCCCATTCAAATCAACGTAACCAAAACAAAGCTGGAAAGAAAAATAGTCTGGTTCCTTTTGCACAAAAAAACATTATCATTAAGTACTGTTATTGGATACAGGGAACATGACTGAAATGGTGGCAGCATGATAAAGGTCTATCCGCTCCGTTCACAAATACCCCCTCACTGGCAAATAAAGTACAGTTGGGGGTGACCCACCGACGCCATCTTGCCTGACTGCAATTTTGCCACGACGCGCGGCTGTACCACTGCGTGTACATAGTACAAGTCCCCTGGTGTACGTGCGTCACACACAAGGAACGGTGTTCGTCAACCAGCTAAATGTCCCACCCATGGGACGTCATTGCTAGGTAAAAGGACGCCCTCTTTTGTTGGCGCACGGAGCCTAAACCCACCTCCAGGTTTCTGTTGAGCAGACAGTCCCCCAGGTACCCAACCAACTGACTGGCTGATACCATCTCAACCATCTGAGGAATATGCACGGTTCCCCGTAGCAGAAGCACATTGATAATAGCAATGAGTGGGCAGGGACCGTTCTCGTTCTGCGTGATGATGGGCATGTTGTTGCCTCGCCATTTGATCCATTTGACGTGGTAGGCTTGCTCGGCTGGCTGACTCCGAGGACTTGTATCTGATGAATGAACAATGTTGTAGTGATTTGATTTGATTTGATTTGATTTTCCTCAGACGGAATCAACAACAACATACACTACACATAACAATACAAAGATAAGAAAACAGTTGAGGCTTGGCCAGTGACATCCTGGAGCAGTACGGAGGATTTCAAGCATAATGCAGGCCTATATTTATGCATGGCTGAGCAAAAACAACACAAGGTTCGGCCCAAGACCTTGACAAAGTGCATCCTGCGAATTCAGTAACGCACTTTTGCCATGTAACCTCAATCCTCCAAATTCCTCCACTTTGGCAAAGAGGATTTTGAAGGATTCAGGGCGGTCAGGGTTAATATTGGACCAAATTACCAATAGTTTTTCTCAATGTTGAAATTAAAGCATGGTCTGAGTTCAAATCACAATTCTGCAACTCACCTGTCGGTGTTCCGCCTATAGCACCAGAGCCTCCTTCCCCGTCTCCTGCTGTCCTGGGCGAGGCTTCAGGTGTTGACATTCCATTCTCACAGGGCGGGACCTCGACCGTCGCTACGTTCTGCTTCAGAGCATCGATATTCCCTGACTGCACTCCCTCACTGGAAACTGGCTGGGCCACTTCACTGCCTGTACTGGCCATATCTGACTGGACATTTAAAACGTCCGTGATAATGTGAATATTCAGCTGAAGGAACAAATATCTTGAGTTGGATCCAAATCAGTCTTCTACTAAGACGTTAGGCCAAATAAAAAAAATCAACATGTTTAGCGTCCCCGCCCGCTTCCTTTTTCGAGGCCGCCTCCTTTTCTTTTTGTTTTACCGAAAAATGATAAATTTTTAAAAAGTGACATAATTTCGGCTTCTCTGTCTGTTGCATCTAGCCCATATAAAGCTGGTATGTCATTTCCTGAGTCCAATGGCGGCCGTTTAAAAAAAACCCCAAAAAACAAACTGGCGGCTGTCTTGAAAAATAGCCCGGTCGGGCAGCCATTTCCGAGAGGAAAAAAACAAAACAAAGACATGAAAGAAGAGCCTCCCGCTTCCTTTTTTTCAAAAGGCAGGACGCTAAACATGTTTTGTTTTTTTATTTGGCCTTAGTTTGCCGGAGGTCATCTTTGAATCCTCCGGGGAACTAGCATTCAATTTGGGGGTAATTTTGGGGTAAAGCTACAATCACGACGACGACAAAACACAACATGAAATTGAATTGAAAATAAACATGATAAAGATGGCAATCACCGCGATGAACAGTGAACACCCAAAACCATTGATTCGCATGGCACTAACCATAAAAACGAGTAAGAAAATCGCATTTTGCTGGATTCTGGATCCAAAATGTTCTCTTGGCCTAAATGAAACATTTATTAACTAGGCACCAAATATAGCCCCCATACATGCCATACTGCAACTGGTCAATATGAACAGCCAATGTAACACTTGCGGGTCTCAACATGTTCAGTTCATCGGTCGAGTGAATTACTTTAATTACACAATACCTTTCAAACAAGTCCCCACAGTTTATTTCTAGGAAGATTGAGAAACTTATTAGCCTCAGACGTTTTCACGATCGTTTTGCAGAAAAGACGTTTTACGATGTTTTTCTCCGTACAAAAACAACCTATTCTGTCAACAGACGGGCCATAATGACGTAAGAAAGTCTGCACCCTATCAATCATTTGTTTTGTAGTGCACAAAATGAATACGTTCAAACTAGGTACCCGACCTCATTAATTTTTTCGGAATAAACTATTAAACAATAGGGGTGCAAGCCTACAGTTACTTTTGGGAATATGTAAACATGAAACTTAATTTACAAACCAAGCCTAATATTCAGTATGCTTATCATAACTAATTTACTTACTATTTTTTATTTAGCATCAAAGGTTGAATTATGAAGATGTTATAAAACAATTCAACATTAATATTACAGCGCAAACCCTAGATAAAAAGTGGACTATTCTGGCAAATAGTAAATGGTTTTATGAATACATCTGGTACCCAGACTGTACCATCAGGTTTTTGATAGTATGTTATATTAGTACCAGACTGGGATATGAGAACAAAATTCTGGTTTTGTCGGGTGAGTGTGAAACTTCTTTGTACTTTAAATCCTGTTTTAATGGCAAGTTTTCAAAGGATCTTGGATGAGTAGCTCTGTATATATCCAGAAGATAGTGACAAGTTAGTGTTGGTCATAATTATGTTATATAGCGTAATTTTGGTCGTAATTCTGAGTAAAATAGTGAACAGTCACTTCAAACTTTGTTGTGTGTTATTAATTTTGCAGCCAGTTCCTAAGCCGTGCGCGTGCGTCATGTGCGTGCGTGATATCGATTGTGGACAAGTCACTGGGATCATAGGCGTAGCCAGTTGGGGGGGGGGGGATTTACCACTCCAATATTTTGTAAAGACTGCCCTTTTCCATTCAAATGCCCTTTTTTTCACCAGTACCTATACCTCCCATAATATTTCGTAAAGAGTGCCCTTTTAACAAGTGCCCATTTTATTATATAAGAAGAATTTGTGCCCTTTTTTGTGCTATCGCTCGTTCCGGGTGCCTTTTTTTAAATTTCACGCATGTATAGCCCTGAAAAGCACCATATAGGCCTAGCGTCCGTTAGTGTGCATAATCGTCGGTTTTGAACAGCTCCCCCATTGACAGATGGACCCCCCCCCCCCACTATTTGATTTTACGGAGACCAAGAGTCTGGAGACCAAAAACGTGACTTCATTTCAGCACGGATGTGCAAGTGCCCTTTTCAAGAATTTTTTCGCGCTCGCATGACTCGGAGTACCAGCACACCATGCGTGACTGCAGAAAATCAAAGTTCAGTTCAAACGTTTGTTGTCATGTCGAGGTCGTTTTTTCCCCTCAAATTTCTTGGCAATGCAAGATCCTAAACTCGTGTGAATTTACAGAAATCTTTGTATGCAAGTAGAACTTAGAAGTACTTATAATACTTGTGAAATGACTTGCCGCGTGACAATTTCAAGTGTATTTACATGAGGACGGAGCATGGCATTGTTTACAACACCACGTTCACGGGTCTAATCCTAAACGTATTGTGGTTGAAGAATAATTGATTACATATTGTAGGACATTTTTAAGAGAATTGCGACTTTTTGCTGTGACCTGTCTTCGTAATCGTAGAATTAGAAATTAAAATGATTTTTTTGTCATTAATTATTTCTAATAAAAAAAAACCGGCAGTGGATGTTCAGCCAGATCCGGCTTTCTTTTAGTAAGCGCTATTTCGCTGGATAGGCACTGAACATCACAATGACCGTTTTTTGGGACTTGAATATTTTTACTGTGACAAATCTTAGTCTGGTTCCGCTCCAACATTGTCGTTGTGACTTCGTATTCACGAGATGGGAATCAGACTGTTTTACAATTTCGGACTTTATTATCTTTAAAAAAAAATTCTCCAGAGCCACGAATCAGAAAAAGAAAATGTGATACTCTGCAATTAAATGTTGGAGTCAATAAAAAATAATAAAAGAAGAATATTCTTAATTTTCTGGGATGAAAAAAAAAATCGAAAATGTCGCTATTGCTTAGAAGTTCTTTTTTTCGGTGGGGAATAAGGTAAGTATACACAATAAACCAGCAAGTAAAAAAAAAATCAGAAGCGCCATTTTATGTCAGTGAAAAGATAAAAAAAATTGTGCTGTATTCCGAGTTTTTTGGACAAATGATCAGTCTTTTTGGCCAATTGTGACCACAATAGATCTGTTTGGCTTATAGTGGCTATTCTCACAAGTGTAGAAACCTGTACCCATTTCCCGGGGGATTAGGCTTGATACATGGAACAGCAGCTTCGTTACCAGCACACCCTGCACTGGTGTAAGTGTGTTGATTGATTGACATGATTTGCCAATGGAAAATGTGATAAGAAAGTCACATTTTCTCCCCAAATTCTGGACTATGTTTGTATGGACCATTTGACATTTGTTTACAAATTGGATTTTGTGGTCATGTGATGTCAACTTTCAGCAAACGGTTCTCTTCTGCACATATCTAATCTAATACAAGTATGAATGGCTTAAACATACAGTCTGTCATTTTACATTTTGTAATTTGTGTATTTTGTTCATTTGAAGCAACAAACATGCTCAAAATCTAAAGAAGGGTGCTGAACAATTAACCTGATGAAGTTTCAGCTCAGCTTCAGCTGTATATTTCGAGAAAAAGAGCATTCCAGGATCTCTATTTCAAATCAAAAAGTGCTGAATCATGTTTTGAATTGAAACTGAATCCAGCGTCCGAGACACGTTCTCACTGAGCCGATTGCGGCTACGCGATGTAGCGCACCGATCCGACGAATTTTTGTACGCGCGCGTGCATCGTTCCGACGCTTACGTGCGCTTCGCCGAATAAAAAAAGGAACTACTAACGGAAATTTCCAACTGTGCGTCTTTAGACGCACCGTTGGAAAGGCCTTCTTTTGTTGATTTCTTCAAAATGACAGCTTGCCAGAAAGAATAATTTCACAGGGAGTTTAGTTCCCATGCTATCCTTCAACCAAGTATGTTTTTCAACAATAATTTCGCCAGTTACTTTTTGGATAGCTGCAAATGATGGATTGTAGCTTTAAAAGAGTTGGCATAATACTGGCATTTAATGTGGGCCAAATAATGTGCAAAAGATGAAGAAATGTTTGGTTTCCCTGGTGGTTGCATAAGCATGATGTCATGGGAAACATGCGCGTCGCGAGGGGGGGGGGGGGGGGCAAAGGGGGGAGGGGGCCAAACAGTTCTCTTCTACACATATCTCTTAAAAGTGTTGACATAATACTGACACTTAATGTGGGCCAAATAACATGCAAAAGACGAGTACATGTTTTGGTTTCCGGTTGTTATTTAGCGACATGACATCATGGGGTACATGGGTGTCATGAGAGGGGGGGGGGGGGGGGAAGAGGGGGGGGGGGAAGAAAAGAAGGCGCAAATTCCTGTTGCTGTTTATTAAATGGGTGGGGGAATGTCCATCCTCGAAAAATGATAAACTGAGATTATGCTGGAAAAGTACAGGGATTTTTAGGGGAAAAGGTGCTTTGCCCCCTCTAGAAAAACATCCTGGCGACGCCATGATGGGGATCATGGTCTATATATGTCAACACTTTTAAACCGTTCTATGCGTAGTGCAGAAGATAATATAACCGTCTGCTTGAATTTGACATCACGTGATCACAACATCCAATGTGTAAACAATGTCACATCGTCTGTAGTTCATTGAGAAATTTTATGTACATGTATGTGAAAGACTGCACAAGCATGGGTGTACATATGTGTGTATACATTGTACAGCTGTACCAAATGACGCTTTCTAAACAATAACAGAACTCAACCCATCAAACCCCAATGTTATGTTTTGTTGGAATCTGTCAGGATGGGTACAGTACCCCTAAACTGACAGTCTTTTACATTGGGTTGGCACACCTCCAGAAACAAAGTCTGAAATATGTGTGCAGTTTCCTATAATAATTTGCCAGGATGGGTATGGTTCCTACTGGTAGTAGTAAATCATGCTAGGAAGTTAGGGTTAGTATTCAACAAAGGCATGGTCAGGAGTAATTAAGACTCAACCTTCAAGGATTTTTTCATCGCACTTATAATGAAGTGAGCCATCAATTCAATTTTTAAACTCTGGTAAAATAAAAGTTAAGCATTTTCAAGTATTTTCAAGTATTTCATTGGAAAAATATACTCTGTGAATTGTGTAAGTATATGTTGAAAAAATATGTAAGCAAACCAAAGTACACACAAAAAAATACATGGATCGCTTAAGAAAGTTGAATAATAATTTTGTTAACATCGCAAAAAAAAATCCCTTTTCGTGTTTAGCAAATCTCTCCACAAAAGCAATACGACACTCCTCGGTTGCATTCAAAATGCCTCAACAATTACTGGTATGCCTTGTATACATTCTGTACTTGAAATACCACCGCAGGAATGCCAGAATCCCCTCTGAAAAACACCTGACAAACTACCAAAAGGGACCCCAAAAAATTGGCTTTGTGGAATGGTGACCCTGTGCCCTCCCCCGGGGTGACGGAGGGGGTACATGTATGGAGGGACCTGGAAGATCAAGCATTCCAATCGGGAAGCTTTCCTCCATCCAGTGCTGCTGACCCCGGTTGACCCCAATTCATAGAAAAAGTCTTCCATGCAGTGTTAATTTGCCTCAGTGACCTTTGACATTGGCTCATAAGTCGGTAGGCAGGGGGTCCTGTAGAGCTGTTCCAGGCTTGTGTCGGAAGCAGTGGTTGTACTGGTGACAGAACTACACTACAGATGTACATGTATACACACTGGTGGGGTGGGTACCGTTCGGTATGTGTTGACTGTTACGCTTTTTCCCCTCCAGATTTTTGTGGTGCAGGGCAAGAGTCGCGACTTTGTAAATTACACAAATGTATGCACTTGCTGGTTTAACAGGTGTTGAGGCTCTTATTTCTGAAGTATTGATTCGGTGTGTTTCTCAGTTTTACCAGCGAGTCTGGCAAATATTGTGACATGTTAAAGCTGTATGTTGATGGCATCAGTATGTGTTTTAAGTCTTGCGTATGCCTAGGTACATGTACATTGTATGTACGTGATTTTGTAGTTTATTTCATTTACGCAGAGATGAAACTTTTCAGATTTTAATCTGAAATCAGATTTTAAAAATTTTCCAATGAAACTTCAGATTTTTTTACCATCTAACAAAAATGATTCTTAGGGCTTTTTCCACAAAATGTTTTTTTAATTATTATTTCCAAGAAAAGTCAATGAAAATGGCACGTAAAATGTGCACAAGGGTAAAACACCTAGACCAACACTGATCAGATGCTTTCCGGCTAGAGAAAAGGTTAAATACTGACCTGTGACATTGATGCGCTGTGCTGCGCTGCGCGAAGCTGTGGCTCGCAACCAAGGTTCAATTTCAGATTTGTTTTGCCAAGGCCAGTTTCATCTCTGTTTACGTTGTGTATCTGATTTCATTATAAAGAAGTTGTTAGGAAAACTCATGGGCAATTCCTGCATTATGCAACGTCCGTAAAACAGCTTTTAAGAACTCAGTAAAAATGTAAGATTCAAATCTTATCCGTCTTCTGGTAAAGGTCAAGGAGATTACAGACTAGGAGTTTTGGATCATTTCTCTGAATCATTAATTGGATATAATGGTTAAGTGGCTCTGTCACGGACATATTCCTTTCACGATGCTGGAATTACCCATATGTTCTTAAAAATGTCAATTTTTGTTCTGCCATTGTTCACATTTGCAAGTTTGTGAACACTAACAGTAACTTTTGTGTCTTTGCACATTTAGGCCAAAAAAAAAAAATGTTTAGCGTCCTGCCTTTTTGAAAAAAAGGAAGGAGGAGGCCCTTTCCCCCACTTCCAAAATGGCCACCCGACTGGGCTATTTTTCAAGATGGCCGCCAGCTTTTTTTTAAATGGCGGCCACTTGGACTCAGAAGTGACATACCAGCTTTATATGGGCTAGACGCAACAGACAAAGAAGCCAAAATGATGTCACTGTTGAAAATTTATCATTTTTTTGTGATAAAAAAAACAAAAAAAAACGGGGACCTCCAAAAAGGAAGTTGGTGGGGACGCTAAACATGTTTTCTTTTTATTTGGCCTTAGCCATTTCTTATTGCCCAAAACTGCAAGGTGCCTACTTAGCATACCTCCATGTAGCCTGGACGATGTGCATTACACGGCGATGTATTGTATATTATCCATATTCAAATCTTGTCCTTCCTTTTCATTTTTCGGCGTGAATGTGGCAAGCGACTACAGCGTCGGGTCACTGGTTGGATTGAATGCCGCACAATCCCTGTAAAACGCCCCGCAGCAATTTAAATGTCAACTCTACTGAACCATTGATCAGCGATTGCTGAAAGTCCTTGTCCCCAAGTTGCACAGTTCTCGGTAAAATTTTTAAAAAAAGAGTGAAAAAAAGTCAAATACCAGTTGGAATGTAGGGCACATTCCATTCACTTTAGCAAAATAATTTGGGGATAATTTTTGGAGGGAGTATTATTGACAGCGTTTAAGAGACTTGAGTGTTTGTTGTGTTTCAAAACAGGAACTTTTGATTGGTTAAGACAGAACGTAAACTGTTCATTAGGTTTTTCTTTCTCCCCCCCCCCCCCTTTTGCCCTTGGACTTTTTGCTAGGATGCTTGCTCAATCCTACAAATTTCAACACTGCACAGGGTGTTGCGAGGTCTTTTCAGGCATGAGATTTTTTTCAGACTTTTATCTTAATTCAGACTTTGAATTTGAGAGAAAGACATTATTAGTATAGACAGATATGCATCTTTCAGACCTTTCATCCAATTTTCAGACTTTTTTGCAATTGACAATCTTATCCCTGGCATTTTGATTGGGGGTTGATGCAAAAAATGGCATTCACATCATCTGTGCTGAAAGCTATAGAGAGTTTTTCCAATGTCCCTGTAAAATACAAAAGTGTTGGGGGGGGGGGAGGGGGGAGCACGTCACCATCACCATCTTCCTATGGGAATGCTGTTCAAAGTGGACGATCATGGGCACTGTTGGACAATAGGTGGCGCTTTTCATGGCAGCAAACTTGCCAATGAAAAAAGACCACTCGTGAAAAAGGCACTCGTGAAAAAAAGGGGCACTTGTGAAAACAAGGGAAATCAGTACAAATTTTGGGGGTTTTTTTTGGGGGGGGGGGGGGGGGGGAGGGGGAGGTAAATCCCCTACGACACTGCTGTACTGTTTAACCAAAGGCAAAATCTTTGACAAAAGTGGGTCGTCAAGCACAATTGAAAGTAACAGTGGCTGAGTTTTGCACTTGTGTTCTCCAGACTATACTGCTTTAGTTGTCTGGAAAAGTTGTTTCTCGGTAAAAGACATTTGTACGTGTTTCTGTGCCAGGATTTTGTTGAGTACACATCCCTTAAACTAGATGGCATAAACAGCTCGGCAACTATCCAGACAAGTTCAGACAAACACATAACGCAACAAATTTGATGTGATTTCCCTACAACAGGTGTTCCCGTTTCTTGACAGACCGACAATTTTATTACCAGTCCGCCTGTCAGGGGTGTTGGGGTGTTTGGGGAAGGAATGGGATGAAAACCGGAAGTTTTGATCATTTCAAGATCATTGGCAGGGTCAACTGGATAGATTGGTTCTCAATATGTGCTTATTAGCCCAATCCCAGGGATTTTCCCTCATTTAAAAAACTTATGTTCCTTCCTAACACATGTCTTTTGAGATTTCTTTCGTACTTGAGCTCATGTTTTTGCTTGGAACCTTCCTGAATTCTTTAAAATCTTCCATCCTAAACATTCAAGGGGTATGTTGTGACTAGGTTGTAAGACCTTTCTTAATCTGACATAACCCGTTTGTTTTATTAGAACATTAGTTGTGCCAAAGGGCAATGCCACAGTGACTTACATCACATTTTTACAACCTATAGGCAATTCGTTCTGGTCTTGGTACAAAACCAGTATCTGCTCCAGTTAGTTTTACATGGGCAATGGGTAGGCCTAGACCTACATGTATTTTGAGATAAACAATCAGTTCTTCCTGTCCTAAGCTCAGGACAGTGTTGGCGTGGAGTATTTTTTCCGTCGGTATTATTTAGAAAAAAAATAAAGAAGGAAATGATGAAATATTGTGCTTAAGTATGAGTTTGAGTATTAGTGCTAGTATGCAGTACCTCAGTGCTATGGGTCTTGTTCAAATGACGTCATTTCCTATAGACTATCCACATGCTTCTGCATTTTGAGCGTCAACTTGCATAACACACATCGGCTGCGTTGTATTTCAAACACATTTTGAGCAACAAGCGCGCGCGTTTGGAACATTTTCAACACTGCGAAATGTGTGCTTGATTGCGTAAAATACACAACTTTGCAGTTCTCCTACATAGATGGCCATCATTGAGCGAGCCCTATACTTCTGTAGTTGAGCACATTTTGATCAGAATGGTTAGTACAGAAAAGTATCCAAGTGCAAGAGTGAGTACAAAGTTTGATCACAGATCACGACATTCTTCTAGGTAGTAGTATCGAAAACAAAGACCCCTAAAACGAAGACCGAAGACCGAAGACCGAAGACCCACTCAAAAACAAAGACCCACTCAAAAACAGGTCTTTGTTTTTGAGAGGGTCTTCGGTCTTCGGTCTTCGTTTTAGGGGTCTTCGTTTTCGATACTACCCATCCTTGTAGTGAGGGTACACAGCATGTTTGGCAGAAGAAGTGTTCATTCAATCCAAGACCAAATTGATCAGTCTTTTTCTGTGAAACATCAATAATTGACTTCTTTCAGGAAGTATCACCCATATTGACACCATTTGTGGTATCCTCCCATGACCTTGTGGGGGGGGGGGGGGGTAGGGGGTGCTAACCATTTCCAGTTGCTGAGACCAACCACGCCAACTGGTAAATAATTTAGCGATTATTTCCACATTTCATCGTGTCTTCAGTCTGTCTCCTTTGGGATGACAGATACAGACCCAAACTGGACAAACTGATAGTTTGATACACATGTACTGAGTGACGGGTAGACAGCTTTATTTGGAAACGTACTGCTGTTTCATGTTTACTTTTTATATGGTCTCTACAATACAGTTTATAGTTTAAGGCCACTGACTGAGTAAATCGTGACATAACTTACACCTGCCTCTAATTACTAACCCTAACCTAACCAACTGCATCAAAATCCATCCCCCATTTCGGGGATTTTGGCAGATAAGCCACGTGTACCAAGTCCATCAAAATCCACCAGCCCCAGTGGTGGATTTCAACGGATTTGGTCCTGAAGCATTCTGTGAAGCACAGTGAGTGATGGATTTTGATGGACATGGTCTTCTACTTATTAAAACTACTTGAAAAGTAGGCAGTTGGGGCTAAGTGAAAATGTCTCTAGTCAAATGATGGCCGAGACATCATCAGGAAACCTCGTCGTCTTGGCACACAGTTGTATCAGCGATGCGACCAACCTCAATTAGCTTGGTTTTGAGGAAAAGTCAACAGGACTTGTTGGACTATAGTCCATGAGCATGATTTCAAGTAAAGATAGTTGAACTGTGTACCGGTATCTGATTTACCATAGATCTTGCTGTTTGCTGTTTTGAGATGTCTAAATGGCGCCCTCTGTCGTCGGTGCACGAAGCATATACCAAATGGCAAAAGAGCAAAGTAACACAGCAATCAGCTGTAGGGTACCTGTATCCCAATGTATACCCAGGCAGTGAAGTAAGGTTACCGGCTTGGCTTGAACCGTAGAGCCAGCAGCAACAGGTGTCGGTGATCCTCCTGACACGCAACCATCTCACTAAAACAGACCTCTTGCAGACCGTGTTATGACTAACACAGATGAGGGGAGCTGTCCACACTCCCATGGGAATCCGACCAAAAACTGATTGCCAAAAATAGTTCAATCTTTATCGTTCTTTGTTCATTTCAAATGACCTACATTCATAGAAATCAAATGCCAATAAGAGGTTAGGCAGATACAAAGTGTTGAGAGGCCAAATAAGAAATTTGAGTGAAGTCTTGTTACGGAAAGCCTTATTTATACAGTACTGTATTGTCTCATGTTATATATTTGCAGAATTTAAAAATTCGAAAGAGTTTTCACTTGGATGAAGTTTTGTGGAACTGACTGGATGTACATTGGCTCTTTGTGGATAATTTGTGGTAAGTTGGTGTTGCCTGATTCTTTTGCCTGAATTTTCTAATTGTAGTTTTTGTTATGTTTCAACTGTGTTTTCATTTATAAGTACATTGTATTTGATTATATCATGTATGACCTTGCTAGTAAAAATGTAATGTTATCAGTGTTGACGACAATGATAAATCCTTGTTTGCATAAAGTTACTGAAGTCAATAAAATGTCCACGGCCCCAAAAATGGACAAGAAGGAACATACTATACAAATATTGAATGTTTCGAGTGGTGTAGTAAAACTAGCCTCCCGAGGTGATCCATGGACATTATATTTTCCCGAGGGGAAGCCGAGAGAAAATAGAATGTTCCATGGATCACCGAGGGAGGCTAGTTTTACTTCACCGCGAGATAAAGCATTCAATATTTGTTTTATAACACTTCACCCACAGATTCTGCTTGGTTTTAATATTTTAAATTATTTAAATCTGAACACAGTTGAAATAACTTCAATTTTAATACAAAATTGGTGGAAAATGTATTTCTCTCTTCCAAACTACCCCTTCACGAAATGTTTGAACCCAACCCTGCGACGCGCTCTCTTTGGAACAATACGCGCTACGTGCAACGCGCAACGCGCACTCCAGCATGCATTTACACACAAATACCGCGCCGTGGAAATAGTACGTGTACTTTGGTTGCTAATGGACTTTGGTTGCTATGGGTATAGTACTTTTGGTCGTGCACTGAAAGATAGCAAAAATAGAAAGTATCATGTGACTCGCTCTCGGCCAATCAAGACACAGAATCTGTGGGTGAGGTGTTATAAATGTACATGTATCTTCTAACTTTTTTCGAATGGTAATAAATCGCTTTCATTTGGCAAATTTTTTCTGCATACCACAAATCATGAAACCAGCCAAAATTTGGCTTGGAAGAAACATGTGTTCCCTTGACATTTTTGTGGTGTAATCTATCTCTGTTTGGCAATAGTTTTCTACATTTTGCCAATCCAAGTGCTTTATTATAAAAAGTTATTGAGTAAAATTTTAATTGAGACCTAAAACTTAGCTGGTGCAATACTGAGGACCTTGTCTTTGCCTCATGAAAATTTTGGAGAATTTTGTTGGCTAAAGAGGGAGTAAAGTTGGCCTGATTTTGTTGTGCATGTTTTTTTTCTGCACTCCAGGTCCCAGTCTGGTGTATCCTATGAGTAATGACATTTGTTCAGTGGTAATCTATTTTTGTTAGGCGAAAAGTTTTGTACCTGCCGCAAAATTGTGTGCTTACAAACTTCCGAAAATTGGCCCGGGGTCCTTGCCCCCATTGTACAACTGTTCAAAGAGACTATAAGTCCTTCACTTCAGAAAAGAAGAGGGGAATTCTAGAGTGAGGTCACCGGAGGTCAATCTCACAGCAAGTGGCTGACTTGTATTTCTTCAATGCCTGGATGGATAGCTTTTGGTAGTTGACGTTGCACTGTGGAGACTTTTATCAGGAGCCAGTGCAATTATGAAACGGATTTATGGTGAGCTGCTGCAGAACGGAGGGACCTTAGCTGCTCGCTAGGAACTGTTTACAGAGTTCAGGCATGCAACTTTTCCTCGGATCCGCTGATTTCCTTGATTTTTACTTCTCACAAATGCCATTACAAATTAAAAAACACTGTACAAAGTCTTGTGTGGTTTGGAATTTCGTCGGTTTTTCTAAATTCCCAGTTGCATGCCTAAATGTTGTTCCTACAACTAGCGAGTCATGTTGAGAGATGATTATTTTGTTTGGAACTAAATTTCTGTGGTGAGTAGCCATATGAAATTGGCCACGGTGGTTTTTGGAATTTATTCAAGTCTATCACATTTTCTTATTTGGGAATGCTGGGAATTCATGTTCACCTGTCTTACTCTTACAGTAATCTGTTTTACCTGGCTTAATTTGCATATTTTGAAAATTATGTTAACTGTCCACAAAAACTGGATTATAACATGGACAGTTATCAGAACAAAAAAAAACCTACATAGCGAAAGTTGATAATAAGCAGGACAAGTTCTTTTCTGAACTAAATATCTTCTAAGCAGTAGTTATTACCACATGGTGTTACCGCAAACCGAAACGACAGTGTTGTTACCATATTGGAATTTACTTTTCAGCACTGAAATGAAACATGATAAAATGTTTTTGGGGTACAAGCGCTTGCCCCCCCCCCCCCTCGCTACGCCCATGTGTACCGTAAACATGCGCAGAAGACAATTTTTCGCAAAAACAGTACAAGCATGCAAAGCCATGAAAACGGGCCCATGTTTTGGTACATGTACAAATGTACCAGTCTGCACGCATGTAGATCAACAGCCTGTTCTAGTTTGAGTTGCAAATGACACTTAAAATGTACCGTACACCATAAACATGTGAGACACAATATGTGATGGGATCAAGCTACATGAGTCATTTGTCGACCCTTGTCAAAAATCTTTTTATTACAGATTTGAAAAGAACACAATCTCAGCATACTGCTGTGAAAACTGCATGCTGGTACCATCTTCCGTTCAAAAATTATGGAAGTCAGAACACCAAGAGATGTGATGAAGTGATGTGATGAAGTGGCCCTATTTTGGCCTGTATCTCCAAATAAAAATTCCCAACAAACGACTCATTCAGCTTGATCGCATCACATATTATGTGCGCATGTACTGTACATGCACAGTAGAGTATGTAGTGTAGTCTACAGGGACAGCTGTACTTGACATGTGTGTATGATATCTGTTCCTTGCTCTATACCTCTACACAATCTCCAGTGTTATAAGTTATAACCACAATGAAGTTTTCCAGGGGGGTGGGGTTGCCCTGCTCGCAACCCGGAACAGCCATGGCCTGGGAAAAACGTATGCAAATGAGGTGTTAGTTTACCAAGGTTTTCCAAAGGCTATTAGTCTGGTGCCGGGTACCGCTTGCTCCGTCATGTCTCACACAATGGGGCTGAGACCAGATTTTGAAAGCAGTGGTGGTGGTGGGGGGGGGGGGGGGGGATAAAACGGGCCTTGTGTTTGGTTGGCCATGCGTGGGGGTCAGGCACCAAGGTTTTGCTTTGATAAGCCAGGGGATTTATGTGTGTGTTTGGCAGGACTTGGCTGGGAATGGGTACATCGCTAGCTAGCTGTGTACAAGTAAGCAGAGTGTGTGTAGTAGATGGGTGACTTAGCTTGTGTGTACACCTTATGGACCACACTCCACTTGATGTCATGTTGTGATTTTACTCTCAAACCTGTTGGATTCCTGACTGCCTATCCTCTACTCCCTTAAAGTTCTGGCATCATTTTCAAGTCTGCAACATTTCTCAGGAAGGATGTTGTTTGCTAGTCCTCCTTTGTGATGAAGTAAAAAACAAGTGTCGGTGTTCGTGTTCTGCAAAAGTACAACTTGTCAAAAGGTTTGAAACTTCCACAATATTGTTGATTACTTATGCTTGGCCAGCATTCAAGGCTAACTTTTTTTGTCAGTTCTCTTTATGTGTATAATTTTGCCCAATGATGCACGATTGTATGAGGCTAAAAATAGACTCTGACAGACATCAAATTTTAGGAAGATGGGGAGGAGATGGAGAAATATGTACATCCTTTTTTGAAGGTCATGACTTACTTTTCTATTTTCTGTCAGATGTCCGTGGAAAATTCTGTTTGACCCCGTAACAGGTTTTTTTGTTTTGTTGGTGATTCGTTGTGGCATCTGGTATTCACCTGCGCTATTACACTAATATAAGCTGAGTTGTTTTACACTCTAAAACTTGGTATACTATTATGTACTAGTTGTATTACAATGTAATATTTTGCATTACCTATACTTTGTGTTACAATATGCATGATGTATTACTTTGTGTAACGATGTATTACACTGTAATACTTTGTATAACAATGTATTACACTGTAATACTTTGTATAACAATGTATCACACTGTAATACTTTGTACTTATATCATGTTCAACTGGATTGTACTGCATTGCCGGGTCTGAACAGGCAACAGCTTTTGTCTTGGTGAAGTTCCAGAGTGATTTAGTTGACTAAAGGCCTTTTCACACTATCTCCGTTTCGAACCGTTTCAGCCCGGGTTGTTTTCGACACGGATCGGAAAGACACAACGTTCACACTGTTCTTGACGGGAACGGCCGCTACGTGAACCGTGTAGCGTTAAATCCGGCTACGGCCCCTGTGTTTTCACACTACAAATTCTCAACACGGAACCGGTTTCAACCCGGAGATTTTGGACAGTGTGAAAAGGCCTAACTGCCTAACCAATAGCCCAGGAGTCACTGTGGGTTATTAAACCCTAACCACCGCCCTGAATCCTTCAAAATCCTCTTTGCCAAAGTGGAGGAATTTGGAGGATTGAGGTTACATGGCAAACGTGCCTTACTGATTTCGTAGGATGCACTTTGTCAAGGTCTTGGGCCGGACCTTGTGTTGTTTTTGCTCAGCCATGCATAAATATAGGCCTGGATTATGCTTGAAATCCTCTGTACTGCTCCAGGATGTCACTGGCCAAGCCTCAACATATTGACAGTCACTGCCGCAGGATTTTGCAGGATTCAGGCAGTGGTCACCCTCCACGGTCCATATTCAAGAAATAATGAAGGAATTTGCAGGATTGAGGCTATTTTTCCATGAGGCCGATTGAGGGATTTTGCAGGATTGAGGCTGCATCCTAGCAAAAAGGCCTAGGGAGTTACGATTTTAATACAGGTCAATAGTGGTTACTATGGCCCAGTAAATGTCAAATATCACACAGGTATATAGTTCTGTTTACTGCAACTAGGGGAATATCCAGTACTTAACTACCAACCCCCATACATGCCACTTAGGGAGTGAACGAGAACTTTGGACCAGTTATAAATACATGTACAATGCATCAATTCAAATGACAATCACACCAAACGTATACAATGCATCTGAGGTGTACAATACACAAGGATGCATTCAGCCAGTCAGCCGGATGTAAAATTGCACCGTCGTAAACAAAGTGCTTAGTGTGGGTCCTGCAAATAAAA